GGAGGATCCGAATGCCCGCAGCTTGCGCTGCTCGGATCTTCCAGCTGACCCGAGAACTCGGGCATAAATCTGATGGTGAAACAATCAAATGGCTTCTTGAACGAGCTGAACCGTCTATTATTGAAGCTACTGGTACGGGTACGATTCCTGCTATTGCTGTTTCTGTGAATGGGACTTTGAAGATTCCGACTACTTCGTCGGGAAAAGACGAGGATGATTATGGTGGGAAAAAGCGTAGAAGGACTAATAATAGTGATTTTGTTGATATGGCTGATGTTGGTGTTGGCGTTGGTAGTGGTGTTACGCTTTCGAGTGGGTTGGCGCCTATTATGCCTGCCACCGCGGCATTGGGCTTCACTACGGCACAAGCCCCTGGTCCGCCACCCCAGGGGCTTGTGCCGATTTGGCCAGCTAATTTTTTCATGATGCCCAATGCCGCCGGTGGAGGCCAGCAAGCTCAGTTCTGGGCTGCACCGGTGTTCGGGTTAGCCGCACGGCCTATAAATAATTTTGTGTCTGAGGTCGTTCCGGGGATGAGTCTAAGTGGTGGGCGGAATGAGACGGGTGTAGGGCCGAGTTCAGGTACTAACAATGGGAATGCTCCTACAACAACTAGTAGTAATAACAATACTGCTACTACTACATCATTATTGGATTTTTCACTAGAGATATATGATAAGAATCATCAAAAGAGGGAGTTACAATTGATGGGTAGTAGACCTATTAATGAGACTAATCATCATAATAATCATCAAGGAATGTCTCAAGAACAAGTTCAGCTTCAAGTACAAGCAGGAGGAAGTAGTAATAGTGCTACACCACCACCTTCATCTTCATCACAAGCAGTTTGACATTTTGGTGAAATTTTAGGAATGGATTAATGGATGATGATCATGATGTAATGTCATGTCATATAAGTTGTAAGTAAGATGAGTTTTGGTGGATTTTAATTTATTAAAATATTAGGGGGGTTCAATTTATGAGGCATACACAATTTGATCAAAGTACCAAACTCAAAGTGTTTGATATTGTTAACCCCATTACATTTTGTTGGGTGATTAAGGAGGTGGTTTGATTGGTGGTGGGTTTCTCTTTTTAGCCACTTTTAAGCTTTTTAATCTAGTTATTATGATGCTTAGCATGTTATTTTTAGCTTTTGGAGTGATTGTGCAAAAGTTTAGTTAGGTTTTAGAGGCTTTTAGCCGTTTTATGATGCAATTTATGAGGGATAGTTCTAACTTTTAAATTTTCTCTAAATTTAACACTTATGCTTCACTTTGTTATTGAAGATTCATCCTCACTTTGTTATCCTTTAAATTACTTTGTGTCTTGTATTCAAATGAATATCAATTTCATTGTCTGTAATAATGAACGTATTGATTTTACACGTGTCTACTTTTGACAATGCTTGGTTGATGTATATATGTGCACAACTGTATACACCTATATGTGCTTGTACTGATCACACTGGTTATGCACATCTTGATTTAGTGATTTTGTGTCATTGTGTGGCACATATGTTGTTGAATATACTCATATACATAGACTTTATACACCATGGTAATCAAGTATATAATGTAATCTACTCAATGTAGATAAATTTTATCTAATAAAGATATCGCACGGAAATTGTAAAGAATAGTCAATTTACAAATGGTAGGTTTGACCGTTTGAGAAGAGAAAAACAACCCTAAAGAATCTTTAACTTATGATCCATTCACATATTCTTTTTTTCTTTTTTTTTTTTTAAAAAAAAAAATGTATAAAATGAGCTCATTTATTCAACAAACAAAATTGAAAAGAGATAGGACCCATACAAAGATAATGAAAATGTGTTTGATTTTTGGTGGGATCCATTTCAAGTGTGTTGTGGTCCTTTTGGGGAAAGCAAAAAAGTTCGCACGTGAGGCTTCTTGAGTGATGCACGTGTGAGATGGTCCCCTCATACTCCACTTTGGGGATTGTGCTAGGTGTAGTGGGCCCCACTTTATGGTGGGTCAACAAGTTAAGGTGGTGGCCCGTGGACCTAGCAGAGTGGTAAATTTGTGGAATCACCTTTTTTGTGGGGATGTCATGTGATTTGTGGTCCGACTTATTACTATAATTTTTATTTTTTTTTACTAATGTTTTCTCCGTTTTATATTATTTGTAACTAATGAGTCCATACAAACTTTTATTGAATTATACTTGTTATTGTTGGAGGGAGAGAAAAATATAATGATACATATAACGATGATAGAGAGATATAACAATTTAAAAAATACTACTCCATAGAATCTATTTGTTGCATGTAATATCTAACAAATTAACAACCATCTTTTATATTTCCTATGCTCCATAAATATTACAACAATGATGAGATAACGCATACTAAAACACATAATGCTAAATATATATAATTAATTTTTTTTTGGTGACATATATAAAAATTTTAAAAGTAAAATTATATAAAGTTGATATTGTATAAGTGTTTTATGAGATGAATCTACCCTACATTACTATATTTTACTTTACATATAAATCATAATATGTGGTTAAACAAACATGATAAATAATTAGTGTAAGGGCCTGTTCATATTTACTGAACTGATTGGAGTTGAACTGAACTGAACTGATTGGAGCTGAACTGAACTGAACTGAACTGAACTGATTGGAGCTGAACTGAACTGAACTGATTGGAGTTGAACTGAACTGAACTGAAAATAAGTAAATATGAACAGGCCCTAAGTCCAATTGTTGCAATAGTACTAGAACAGAGGGAGGAAAAATTACACATAATATAAAATAGAGTTGGTATTTTATTTTGAATGTGAGTTAAGTATTGGCGCATAGCTGTTATTTATATGCCAAGTAAAGAGCAGCTATATGACAAAAGAGTGGTGAATTATTTTTTTCCAGTGATACAATATTTGTACTACTGTTACTATTAAAATAGCTTAAACTCTATTAGTACATTAGAAATTCCACTGTAAATATAATGGTACATTCAAAATACCACTGTAGCAATAAAAAAAATCTCAAAAACTAAGTAAATTTACCAATTAACTCTCCTATGTGTATTCTAAACATATAGATGATCGTGGGGCTAATTTTAGGCGGGTCCATTGATGTCGCACACCCTGCTTTTTTGGTGAGGTACTACCTCCTAATATCGACACGTGGTAATTTAGTAGCCGTTTGTGAGGTTTTCCTCCTACCACGGCGTGACACATGGATTTTTGGTTATAATTCTTTTTAATTAAATGGATTTAAGTGTGTGTTGATCCTTTTGTGTTGGCCCGTGAATTCTCACCGAAGGAAAAGATCATGAGCGTGAGTGAAAATCTGGCCTTGTGGTCTCTCCTCTCTTCTTGTTTTTGGCGGGGGCGCAATTTGTGCTCAACTTTAAATAATTTTGTGTTTATATTGCCTTTATTTATATAATTTTTTTTTGACAAGTGCCTTTATATAATTATATTTACATTTCCTTCACAAAAACATAATTATATTTAGTTATTTACTATTCCCATATCGTATTAGATGCCGGGAAATTAATTGTGAGATATAAATTTTTTTAAAGTGCATTAAGTACAATGTTTAAATTTTGATTATATTACTCCGTACCACATAACTTAGGGTATGTTCTCTTCAGATTTTTTTTAAGTTCAGTTTAGTTCATTTCAGTTCCAATAAGTTCAGTTCAGTTCAGTTCAATTCATTTCAGTTCAATTCAATTCAGTTCACTTCTTAATTTCCTTCTCTCGTAAAATATTCAATTCAGTTCAGCTCCAATAAGTTCAGTTCATTTCAGCTCTGTTCAATCAATCAGAACAAGCCCTTAGATTTTATTTTTTTATTTGCACCATTGAACCACTTTTTGTGAGTGTATTTTAAGTCAAATGATGCAAATAATAATGAACGGGAAGAGTATTAATTACTTGTATTATTTGATAGGTAAAAGGTGGTAAAGATATATATATCGCTTGCATATAGACTTGTGTAATAAATTTCAAATTTTCATTTTTTGTTATTTTACACTTTAATTTCTTATATATAGCCCTAAAACCAATGTTTTTTGTTTTTTGTTTTATTTTTTTTTGGTGACAAAGGTAAAAGCTATGAATTTCATTTTTTAACTACTATTATATTTGTATATAGTTACTATGTAAATATATACAAGTAACGAACATAACGATTTATGTACGTGGGCACGGAATTTCACACATAATATTGCTCATTTGTCCTAGTACACACACATGCAGGAACAATGTGGAAAAAACAAAGGATTTGGGGCTTAATGCCTGAGTCGATCTTTATCGATTTGGGCTTTTTCACTGGTTAGGCCCATCAATAAGACCCAGCCCACAAATTATCTGTACAAATATCGAGTTTCCAAGCAAGATTATTTATGAAACTTACCTTCTAATTTTTCTCTCATGTACAATTGTTGTTTTTTAGATTCAAAACTAGTTTTATACTAGTCTAGAACTCTAGAAGTTAATATTGATATTGTGAACTATGTAGAATCTAGTTCCTTTTTAAAACTACATCTTGACTCCCTATGCTTGTGTTTTGTTGGTATTAAGGAAATGAGGTATGTAGCCTATAGTGAGCAATAATGATTCATGATTGAGTAGTCCAATTGACCAATTGTAAAGATCATCGATATTAAAGGTTAAAATAATTATATCTTATATTCTTATGTACCAAGTATGAGTATATTTTAAAATAACATATACTAAAAGAAATACAAAAAGTAAAGAAAAAAAAAGACGTTATTTTTAAAACACAATCAATTTTTATGACAGATTAATGCCTAATTAAGTATTCACTTGTTCCCGTCAAAAAAAAGTATTCACTTATTAGGACTTTCTAGTAGTATTTAAAAAGATTTTCTAAGACTTCTTACCACAAATACACACATGAAATTTCATGTATTATGCATTTTTGGTAGGTAACAAAACGTGTACTTCGTATTTGGATATATAAATAAAGCACACCACAAATGGTTTTAGTTTTTGCAATTTGCTTCAAAGGAGCAACTCAAATTACACTTTATCTTACACAAGTAGATCTTATTAGTAAGAGTTTTTGGCCAAAATAATTATACACAATGTCGTATGACATTTATAGCATATAGTAGTACTCCAAATAAATAGCACTACCATCTTTATGATGAAATTTCAACAGTTTCACCTTTTAAGCTCCTAATTTCCTAGGTTAGTCCATACATACACCTATCAAATTATGTTGAGACTATCGCATGAATTCATTTTCTTTGTTTTTGCAATTTTGGTGGCTCAAACGAAAGCAAAGCAACTTGATAGTCATTACTATGAACAAACATGCCCCCACGTTGAGAGAATAATCAGAGATGTAGTTCATAAGGCAACGTTAAGTGATACCAAAGTTCCTCCTCGCATTCTACGTATGTTCTTCCATGATTGTTTCGTTAGGGTATGTATTCTAGTCTTCTAGCTTCCTCCACTCCTTTTTTAACTCCTTATATATGCTTACAACTTTTCAACTTTTGCACTATTTACATACTCTATAATTTTATTATTTATATTTACAGAAAAACATAGTCATATAAGATCTTTTCGTGTATAGAATGAATCTACACAATATATATGCTCCATTATGGTTATTATATATAAAAGTTAATAATAATCTTCACAATATATGGTTATGTGATGAACCTTTTTAATTAATATTGTATGCATGGAACAATTGTCTAGGGATGTGATGCTTCAGTTCTATTAGACTCTACGGATGATAACCTAGCAGAGAAAGATGGCCCTCCAAACATATCACTCCGCGCATATTATGTGATTGATAAAGCAAAAGCCAAGCTCGAAAAGGCTTGCCCTCAAACCGTCTCTTGTGCTGATATTATTGCTATTGCAGCTAGAGATGTAGTCAACTTGGTACGTTTTTACATTGCAAGCAAGTCTTTATAATAATATTAGTGTTCTATGCCAAGTAAAATATTGTCACATTTTGATTTGATGTTATTGGGTTTTATTAGGCTGGAGGACCATATTGGAATGTGTTGAAAGGGAGAAAGGATGGAAAAACATCAAGGGCAAATGAGACTCTAGACTTACCAACACCATCTTTTAATGCAACCAAACTTATAAAATTATTCTCAAAAAAAGGCCTTGGCATTAAAGATTTGGTAACCCTTTCGGGTGCACATACCCTAGGGTTCTCTCATTGTTCCTCCTTTAAATCTCGAATACATCGTTTTGATGACAACTTTGACATGGATCCTAGCATGGACATCATGTTCGCCAATACCCTAAAACAAAAGTGTGCTAGTAAGCATAATAGGGACAATAATAATTCAGGGTATTACTTGGACTCGACTTCATCAGTCTTCGACAATGAGTACTACAAGAGATTAGTAGCGCGAAAGGGTGTACTTGCTACGGATCAAGCTTTGTACAATGATTATAGGACTAAGTTTTTAGTCGAGTCTTATGCCAGATATGAGGCCTTGTTCTTTGTAGAATTTGCAGCTTCCATGGTAAAACTCGGAAATCTCGGTGTTAATGATCATCACCATGGAGAAGTTAGAGAAAAGTGCAGGTTTGTGAATTGAGTGTCATGCATGCATGCAAAGCAAGAATGAAGGAGAAAGAGATATGGGATAAAGAGTTTGTTAATTATGTAATGTATTTGTTAGTTGAGGTTAGTTATTATTGATTAAGTACTATAATTAAATTGTACTACGTATGAATTTAATTATCACTTGTATATTTATTTGTTTCTTTTTGTAATGAAGAATGCAAAAATTGCATGTAATCAGCTTAACAACTCCATGTATCACTCTCTTTGCATTAGAAGAACTTGTCTCTATGAATGACCAAAGCGATTATTTGGCTAAAAAAACGTGCATATGATTTTAAATTACCATTATTGTAGGATTAATTTTTTTTTTTCATGGTTGGTATATATAGTACTTCTTAATGTTTCTTATTAAGTACTCTGTATTAGTTTGTGACTTTATGCATGACTATTGACTAATTAGTACTGTACCATACCCCAAAAAAAAGAAAAAAAAGAAGGAAAAAAATAAATAAATTGTGAGAGGGTATTGTTGTACCATATAAAAAGTTCAAGTCTTTATGACCTTATGCATTTTGAAACATTAAGGGCCTGTTCCGATTGACTGAACTCAGCTGAACTGAACTGAACTCAGCTGAACTGAACTGAACTCAGCTGAACTGAACTGAACTGAAATGAACTGAAATGAATATTTTATAAGAGAAGGAAATTAGGAACTGAACTGAACTGAACTGAACTGAGCTGAGCTGAACTGAACTCAGCTGAACTGAACTGAATTTCAACGTAAGAGAACAGACCCTAATTCTTAGACTAAATTATAGAGCTTTGACTACCTCACTAACTTTTAGATTGAAAAAAAAAGAGAGAGTGAAATTTTCATGTATGTATATTTTGACATTCATAATAAAAAAAAAATCCCTATTTACTTATTTTGAACACAATATTTTTAAAATTATGTCACTATTTCAAAAATATCATACACTAAAGTATGGTGCAAATGTTTAAGTGGTGTAGTTAATATATAATTAAGGGTAATATACGTACAAAATTAAAACTCAAAGTAGGAACAAGGAACACAATGATATTAACCATATCTCAAAGTAGAAATTGAAGTGCAATCAGATCTTTGTAGCTCCTCCTAATTATAAACCTTTCTTTTATATGTAAAATATATACAAGTATATTTTTTTTAAAAAAAAAAAAAAGAAAGATTCGTTTTATAGTTAAAGGAAACAGAAAAAAAATGAATAACAAGTACGTTACATACATGTACAAGAGGTATAAATGAGAAATTGTACTCCACAGCTCACAGCCTCACACCAACAACCGTACTCCAAGAAATCCGAGTTGATAGATAAGTATGAACCAATAGTCTTACCTTTAATAACATTCTTAAGTTAACGTAATATTTCTTGCATTCAAAAGGATTTCAAAGCTTTTAAAAGTTTGGTATTCATTAGTCAAGGGTTAAGCAACTCTTTTTCAGTTCTATCTATAGAATGTACTAAACTTTATGTTTGGTGAAAAAGTGTTTTTATTGAGTATATCATTGCCAACCCTCCTAAAAGGAAGGAAGAGAGAGAGAATGTTATACTAGGAAGTAGTAATTTTTAGGGAAAAAAGACCTAATAATTAACAACTTTATAATCAATATTTCATCATGATTTTAATTCATGTATATTGAGTATTGCAATAGATACATTATACTATGAAAAATAATAAAATATAACTTAAGACCTATTCTCTTTAACTTAATTTCAGTTCAGTTCAATTCCTAATTTCCTTCTCTCATAAACAATTCATTTCAGCTCTATTCAATTCAGTTCAGTTCAGCTCAATTCAACTGTTTTAGTAAATCAAAAAGGCCCTTAAAAACTTCCCTCGAAAGAAAGGGCAACACTATATAGAGTTATAAAGAACGACGATGTATGTATGAAACAAGAATTATAAACCGAGAAGAGATATACTACATATAAATGAGTAGAAAGGAAAATACATTACTACTCCGTATTATATTATAGTTACATGTCACCTCCTTAACTAGCTAGAAATAAATTTTGCTCGACTTAATGATTTTTATAGTGCTCACGATGATGAAGATAAATGTAGACAAAACCAATATCCAAGTAGTTGTGCAATTACTTTGCAACTTTTCAAAAATAAATATGGACTTCATTTTTTTTACGGGAAAAAAAATAAAATTGAAATACATTACGATAAGCAAAATACATAGAAGGTGTACGATATATCAAATCGAAGACCACAAATTTGAAGACTTACCTTTTTCAAAAACACAACCATAATAATAGTAGTACAAGTTTTCTAGTAAGTACATGGCTTAAAATTTTCTCATAAGTTTAATCAGGAATTACTTGATCTTAAAGCACACTAAAGAGTTGGTCTATTTTTCCCAGAGTTTTTCAAGTTCAATGAGTGCCTTGAAAGCTCAATCCATTCTCTTACAGAACTATAAATACTTCTCCAAGTTTAAGGCATTTCCATCACCAAGCATCCCTTCAACACATCTCTTCAATCCTCTTAATTAAGACGACGAAAATGGCTACTCAATCAACCAAAGTCCTCTTCTTTGTTCTCTTCTCCTTCGCAATTTGCCGCACTCATGCAGCACTCAACGCTCACTATTATGATCAAACATGTCCACAAGCCGAGTTTATTGTATCACAAACGATTCGCAATGCTTCTATATATGATCCCAAAGTCCCAGCTCGTATCCTCCGTATGTTCTTCCACGACTGTTTCATCAGGGTAAGCATCTTCTCTATTATTATGGTAAGTCTAGAAATAATGCAATCACACGTTAGTACAACTAATAATGTTGAATCGTATTAGGGATGTGATGCATCAGTTTTACTCGATTCAACACCTGAGAACGAAGCAGAGAAGGACGGGCCTCCTAACATCTCAGTTAGAGCATTCTACGTAATTGACGATGCTAAGGCCAAGCTTGAGAAGGCATGTCCACACACAGTTTCTTGTGCTGATGTACTCGCCATGGCTGCTAGAGATGTTGTCGCTATGGTAACTTCATTCTTTAGAGATTGTTTTCCGATATTGATTACATCTCATATCTCCTAACATCAATTCTCTAATTTACGCTTTTTTTTTTTTTTTTTTTTTTTACCTCAGACTGGAGGACCAAGCTGGAACGTACTCAAAGGTAGAAAAGACGGAAGAGTATCAAAGGCTAATGATACTGCCAATCTCCCAGCTCCATTCTTAAACGCGACAGGACTGATTCAGGCCTTTGCTAGCAGAGGATTGAGTGTTAAGGATTTGGTTACTCTATCTGGTGGACACACTCTAGGCTTCTCACATTGTTCTTCCTTTGTAGCTCGCGTTCACAATTTCAGCACATTACACGCAACTGATCCTAGCATGAACACCGAATTTGCCAGCTTACTCAAGAACAAGTGCCCAAGTACAAACAACAACGGCGATGCAGGACAGTTCCTAGACTCAACTGCATCACAGTTTGATAATGACTACTTCAAACAAATCATTGCAGGAAAGGGTGTTTTCGGATCAGACCAAGCCATGTACAATGATCCAAGGACTAGACCGATCATTGAGGCATTCGCCAAAGACCAAAACATGTTCTTCAGAGAGTTTGCAGCCTCAATGATAAAGCTTGGAAATGTGGGGGTTAATGAAGTAGGAGAAGTGAGACTGAACTGCCGAAAACCAAACTAAGTTCCGGAACCAGATCGTGTACATACAACACACATGGAAGAGACGAAAGCGATTCCAAGAGAATGTGTAAAGAGAAAAGAAGACATTTCTAATGTAATAATGTTTGAGTGAGAAAAAAAATAAGCCATAACTAATTTGTTCCTCATGTTCTTGAAAGATGATGTTATACTGTAAAGATTTTTTTATATGTTTGTATACTCAACAAAATGGAGTGTGAATTATTATTTTCTTACTTATAATTCTCTGAATTGGTACATACATTAACTATTTGTTGGGAAATATTTATTGATTTTATGTATGGCAGTGAAGAATCTTCAGTAACAGCAGGAACATGAATTTTTTAAAAGATTAAAAATTAAAATTCTCACAAAATCTCCAGAATCATTGGAGAATGGACAGGTCAACTTATTAAATCATAAAATAAATAACTAAAAATCCAGGATCATTTTTAATATTGACAGCTCTACTTCTAGAAATTTTTTCTTAATTATAAAATGATGTTACCATCAATAAAATAAGAAATAAAAAAAGAAAAACTTGGACATAAATCACATAATGTACATTTTGGTTTTCAAATTTAAAAAATTCTCAATTGTAAATTACAATATGGAATCAAGTATGAACCGATACTGCCATGCACGAGTAGTCTGCTTTTGAACACAAGATGCATGAATATTTTAAAGTATGCTAGTCTATGCAGTATGCACATCATATTTCACGTGCATGTGTTATGTGATACGCGCATAGTATTAAATGGGCAAGCCATGCCAAGGCTAGCCCCCAAGATGTAGCCACTATACTATACAACATGGTTCGAGTCTTGCCAAGCCTAGGCGTGCTTTTGGACTTGTGCCTAACCCGACCCATTGCCAACATTTACTATTTATACAAGAATTATTGTATAAGAAAATTTGTATAAAATAATGGGTGGGTACAACAAAGCGATGGATAAAGTAAGAGACATCAAGTAAGAAAATAGTGGATAAAATAAGAAACGATGAGTAAATAAGTAGAAATGTGTAATTTTTGTGGGTGAGAGTAAGTGATAAAAGATGTTTGCCTGAAATAGAATATGTTAAGATTATTATGAAACAGAGATAGTACTCCATAATAATTACGGGGGTAGTAAACAAACTATATTCCAACACATACACGAACCTTAATTTCTAGCGTCAATTGTACGGAGTAAGTTCTTAAAACAGAATTGTTACCGTAGACCACTGCGGTACAAAATAGATTTCTTCAAATGAGGCTCTACCCCAACCTCTACAAAGTAAGGGTGATCAATACGTACAGTCAAATAAACAGCTCGAGTTATTGCTTTTTACAAGATCTGGTAGCATAACCAGACAATTTAGTGTATTCATCAAGAGTGTTTAACAGAACAACTACTTAAATGCATACGAGTAACCTAAAATCTTAGTGCATCCAACTGTTTTACAGAATACGGAGTAATTATTCAGTTTTTATACCACGCTTATCTGTCTGAAAATACTAGTCACATATATTACTTTTGGATCGAGAAATCCTAAAGCAAGTACGAGTAAATTTATTAATCATGATAGTGGTTAATGATTACTCCGTATATTCTAATCCATAGAATATGCAAATTTAACTAACTCGAAACAGAGGAGAATAAATGGTATGTTGACTGATCAATCATAGAGTTGGAATGACATTGCTTAACACATGCAGTACAAAAATACATGTACGTCTACTTTAAGGGTCACCAACCGTAGTCCTTTAACAGACCTGATTGATCAGTATGAACCAACACTTTGGGCTCATTTCTTAGAGTTTAAATCAAAGTTTTTAAAGTTTGGCTATTGATTAATCAAAACCAACAATATTAACACATAGAAGTATAGAACTCAAATTTAAGCTAAAACTAAAAAGTTAGCTCTAAAAAAACAAATATTTGGGATTAATATGTATAAACTCTAATAGAAATGCAAAAATTACATGAATTAACAAATGAGGCATTGATTTAGTGATCAAAATCAAAGTATGACGGTAATATGTAAACCTCTCAATAGATATTTTAATTCATAGGAAAAAGCATAAAAGACCATGCAAATAAAAATAAAATAAAAATTAAAAGGAATATGTTAAACGTAGCATTGCTTTAAATTTTGTCTTAAATTCACAATTTTCTACCAATTAGAGAAATATAAATATGTTAATGCATAAATGCTGTGATTAGAAAAACTTATAATATAAATTAGGACTTAGAATTTGAGTCAACAATCTAGAAAAGAAAAGGGTGTTAGTTTCGGCTGTTGGTACTATTCACAATCACGTTTCTGATTAGCTAAAAACTTGAAAATAACAGAGCTTAAAATCTTCTAAAATCACATAAAATTAAAAGGAATACTTGATCTTTAAAGTACAGTAAGAACAGGTGGTTTCAAAGGAATTTTGAGTCCAATGAGTGCCTTCAAAGCGCAGTCCTCTATTTTGTTCTAACACTGTGCTACATTAACTATAAATAGGGCTCTAAGTTTATGGTATTTCCATCACAACAAGCCTGCTTACAAGTATTAACACTTTAACTTGCCTCGAAAGTACGAAATGGCGGCTCAAGACACCAAAAACCTCTTCCTGTCAGCCTTATTACTTCTCTCCATTGCAGTTTTTAGCTGTCAGGCAGCACTCGATACTCACTATTACGATCAAACATGTCCACAGGCGGAGTATATTGTCGCACAGACAGTTCGTAATGCCTCCATATATGATTCCAAATCCCCTGCTCGCCTCCTTCGCATGTTCTTCCATGACTGCTTCATCAGGGTAAGAATCTTTCTTCCAATCCATGAAAGAATACACATGAAAGCATGCACCAAATAGGCTATATTTTTCTTTTCTTAATAATATCGAAACTTGGAAGTGGGTTAGAGGGAGCTTGGGCAATGCGAACAGTCTAGGTACAAAATCAATCAAACCAATCTAGGCTGATTTATATTCTATTATACATTAACTAAGATGTTGAATTATGCTAGGGATGTGATGCGTCAATTTTATTGGACTCGACTCCTGGGAACAAAGCTGAGAAGGATGGTCCACCAAACATCTCAGTCCGATCATTCTATGTCATTGACGATGCAAAGACTAAGCTTGAGAAGGCATGTCCACACACAGTTTCATGTGCGGACGTAATAGCTATGGCTGCCAGAGATGTTGTCACTATGGTAAGTTATTGCTATAGACATCAGTATTTCACTCTATAATACATAGTTGCATACTCGATGAATCTTCATTGTCTAACTCTCGATTTCTATTTCTAAGACTGGAGGACCTTACTGGAGTGTACTCAAAGGAAGAAAAGATGGAAGAGTGTCAAAAGCCAGTGATACTACAAATCTTCCACCCCCATTTCTGAATGCGAATCAACTAATTCAGACCTTTGCTAAAAGAGGATTAGGCATTAAGGATCTGGTCGCTCTATCCGGTGCCCACACTCTTGGCTTCTCACACTGATCTTCCTTTGTTGCTCGTGTCCATAATTTCAGCACAGTGCATGAAACTGATCCTAGCATGAACTCCGAATTTGCCAGCTTACTCAAGAACAAGTGTCCAAGATCAAACAACAACGGAGATGCAGGGCAGTTCCTAGATTCAACTGCATCACGATTTGATAATAACTACTACAAACAGATCATCGCCAGAAAGGATGTTTTTAATACAGACCAAGTCATGTATGATGACCAGAGGACTCGCCCAATGATTGAGGCATTTGCCAAAGACCAAAACTTGTTCTTCAGAGAGTTTGCAGCCTCAATGATAAAGCTCGGAAATGTGGGGGTTAATGAAGAAGGAGAAGTGCGACTAAACTGCCGAAGAATAAATTGAGTGTTGATAAAGGATTCATGTGTATATCAAAGGGAGAAACTTTGAAGAGAGAAAAGAAGCCATTTCTTGTATTGTAGAGAGATGTAATAATGTGAGAGTTTTATGTTTGTGTACTCTATCATAATGCAAATTTACTATTTTCATATACTCGGGCAAAATTAATCAAGTTTATCTGGAAATATCTTAAAGGAAAAACTACAAAAAATAAATTTGAATGCACAATACACAAGAAGCAGGATCATTCAGCATCCATCAACTAAGCCATTTCCATAGAAAGAAAACCAATTAGCTTTACAAACTTACATATCCCAAGTTACACAGGCAGGCGGTCAAAAGCTCAAATACACCAATATCTCCTCTCTACCCCGGGTCATGAGTTGAAAACTAATCAAATGCATGAACCCATGCCCAATGCCAACAATACTTGCTGACTTGATATTGTGAATGAACTCATCTGCTCAAATTTATATAGTAGCACCTAATATACTGTTCTTAGACCTTTATCATAATGCACTATAATGACATGGCTTGTTAAACAGATTATGCCTCATTCTTACGGTGAAAAAGCAACATCTCTGGTCAAGAGTTGACTGGAATCCACTCCAATATTGCAGGGAAAGACTAAGCTCATTCAACCCCCTTCTCTAAAACAAGAGGCTTTTAACGGTATAAGGGCAATTGTTATTGGCTTAAAATACTTTGTAATAGGATTGATAACATCCAATTCTGCCTTCCCATACATTCTGAACTTAGACCTTTATGATAATATACCTTAAATTTCATCTACACCTTTTTGAGACATATCTATAATAGCAGTTCATCAATACAACCATATCAGCAAACCACCCAGCCAGAATACGGCAGCAAGCATGAGCTACAGCTCTACTTCCTCTTCCTCTTCTTTCCTTTCAGTTTGTAATAATACCTTCTAGGACTAATTGTCATGATGAATCAACCCTTTCAAAAATTTCAACATTTTTGTTCTCTCTTCAACATCGAATTTCATATGGGTTACCTTGAGACATCACACTCTAGTAATCTACTATTTAAATCACAAATATGTTGGGAAAAATTACTTCTCACAAATCAGAAAATCCCAAATTGGTACATGTTTTTCTAATGCTATTGCTTGTTTCTAAGAAGCTAAATTTCTAACGATCAGAGAGCTTAAAGATGATAAGTTTTATCACGACAGGAGGAAATGCAACAAAGCCTCATATATTGGGAAAGCTGTAAGGACTGAATTGAATTTTGGTTTCCAAGTTAGTAAGTACAAGAGGAAAAGGTATAACAAGAAAATCATTTGGATCTTCCAATACAGGATGCTTTGAGCTCAGAACAGTATGGATGCTACTTCAACTAGGAATACCCTTATCTGAATTATACCTCAAATAAACACAGAGATCTTCTGTCAAAAAAGAAAAAGGTAAAAAAAAACCACTCACAGACAGAGATCTTTTTCCATATAATATTGAGCATTGATGTCAACCAAAATTCACAATTAATAACTTAGGATTAAAAAAATTTACAACATCATTATATACGTTGCAGATCATATTTAAGAATGAAATGCAGAAGGTAATAGCTGGCCTTCACATTATGTGATGGTAAAATAGCGATGATAAATGCAGAAGGCAATAAATGGCTCTGGCATTGTGTTATAGTAAAAATAATGATGATACTTAGCTCGATCAAGCAAAAACTACATCTGAACGAAAAACATACTTGACCCCTTTGGTTACATTCCGAGCTTCATGCAACATACACTTGTCACCATGGATATGAACGAGTGCCATCCCCGCTGCAGGAGCCACCTGCATATGCAGCCTTTTAGTTAGCCATATATACTCTCAAAGATTCACAGCAATAAGATTACTTCTCTTTGAGAAAAATAACACAAAGAAGTCAGAAAAAGTGGAAAAAGAGCACACCTCAGCCACCACTTTGCTTCTTGAACCATAAAATACTGTTTCACCTCCAACTAAGGGATCTGTGTTACCTAGGCTCTTGACATCACTTTTGCTTTTGGATTGAGAACTGCCACTAAGATATATTAATAGTGTATAGTGTGTGTGCTTTCCATCACCAAGATCAACACTTTCATCAATATGACGCCCGAAACGCTGACCAACCTTGTATCTGCGAAACCAAGAGACCAATTTCAATTTCAGAATCACCTTCACTTAATGAATGAATAAATCCCAAGAGCTTATTACATAAGTTCCTAAATCATATATAGCTAGAGTCGGTGACAAAACATAAACCACACTGCCACCATCCCCAGAAAAAAACAAAGGCAAGGAAAGCAGGAGAAACTAAAAAATCCATGGGCAAGGGCTCTCGGATAGCTCATCAATACTCCGTATGACTTAATGTAGCAAAACTACAAAAGACATCCCCCAAAGGCAGTAACAACTTCTCATTCATGGGGTAAATAAATATTAAACAAACAAGTCATTAATGTCATAATTCAACAGTGATAAATTTGCAAGTTAAGAATTAAGATATAATAGAGGAGAACATTTTGCAATCATCAAGCGGACCTATCTCATACAAGAAATTATCTTAAGGCCAGGTCTCATCAATTAGAAAATAACCACCCATGCCCTAGAAAGTACGATAGAAGGTGAGTATTAGTGGAATGAGGAAAAGCAGGGATGGAGAGTTTATGGACAAGGGATCTCAGACTAATCATCAATAAAATTCGAAGTGGCAAAATTACAAAGGACATTTTCCAGAGGCAAAATCAGTTTTTTGTTCATAGGGTCAATAAATTGAAATAGAGAAACCTTTATTGTGACAATTTCACGATAATAGAGCTGCAAGTTGATTATAAGTTACAGCTCGACTAATCAGATAAAAACCTGAATTAATACTAGTAGAGTGGAAAGCAATACGTGATCATAACATGGACCTATCACATAGATCAATGAATCTCAGAGCCAAGTCTCAGCGATTAGGAAAAGTTTACACATGCCCTGAAAAGAATGGTAATAGATGAATGACGCCATGGATACAAATCATACAATAATTACAAACCAAATAGCAAGAAAACCTGTAGAATCTGATGTTTGGATTAAGCCCGACAGCAGCTTTCCCGCGTATTTTGATATCTCTAAACAATTTGTTAAGACCTGACTCCCAAATTATGCCAGCAAGTTGAGGATCATTCACAGAGACCCGGTCATTGTCTCTATAAGCTTCACCTTTAGCTGGCCCAAGACTCCCTTGGTGCACAAAACCAAGTGACTCTGCAGCTTTGACAAATGCCTCAGATTCAAAAGGCGTCAAAAAATTAGGTACCTGAACATCTTAAACGAGATTTCAGATATTAGACATATCACCCTTCTAAAAATTTTAATTCTTCTAACATGTGCAATTCCAAATTACCAGGTAATACCAATAAGGCAATAAAGACATCATCTATACATATAGCAAATTCAATTATCACGGCAACGTACATACATAAATCATGACTTCATGAACAACGACATCCATAATTGTACTGTAATAGGCATCATTATATTTCAATTACCTCAAAAAAAAAAAAAAAAAATGGAAACACAATTCATTTTTAGTACTTTATAGACATCTTTATAGGTGCCTATAGTTTCAAATCATCTTATATGACCCTAGGAGTCGCCCCACGCATTCAGTTCATTTTTTGAAAAAATGTCAAAAATTGACCTAAAATCGTGTATTATAACCTTCAATTTTGGACAATTTTGCACTTTTTTGGACCTGGAAAAAAAATTGTCGAGATGCTTCCCATGGACCCTAATACACCCCAGGAGTCCATTTGGGTGGGTGAAACCATCTGATATGCCTTTCAACTGTCAATTTACCCGTTTACAACTTGCACCGATTTCATAAACTCAAAGCTACCACGGACATTTATGACAACATATAATGATCAGATATGGTTCCAAATGATATTATATAACCCCGGGATGTATCCCTTGAATCTCGAGATTTTTCAACACCGGGTCCCGAAACCTTCGAAATTGCTCAAAAGCGTGAATTATAGCCTTTGATTTTGAACAATTTTTGACTTTTTTAACCCGAAAAAAAAAATTGCCAAGATGCTTCCTGTAGACCTCAATACTCTTAGGGAGTCAAATTGGGTGGGTGGAATCATCCAATTTGTCTTTAAGCATCCAATATACCCATTTTCGTAAAACCCTCTTTTATTGGCTATAAGCTTTCACGAGGCCTTAGTGTAGCCGACTAATGGTTGTATATGGGTCTAAACTAAGTGTCGTGATTTTTTTTCACTGGGTCCCAAAACCTCCTAAATTGCTCCGATTTCATGTATTATAGCCTTCAAATTTGGCTTCCATACATCATTTTTTCAACAGCCACCCAAAGGGCCTTCAAAGTGCCCGAATCAGCTTGTATGCCTTGTCCTTGAGTACATCTCTTAAGGCAAAGAAAAAGTACTCTAAAATGACAAAAAAAAATCTTTGTATGCCTTGTCCTTGGATGCACATGTCTTGTGCACATGCCACACGCCCCCTTGCAACATCCAACATCCCAACACTTAGGCTTTGTGACTTGTCCCAATCTCATACTAAACATTTTAGCACCTATTATAATACAATAATGGATGTCTTTGTTCATTCCTTATGAAGAACACATTCCTTCATCCTTCAAAGATATTACTATGAAGAACCTACCCTAGTTCCATCCCATCCTCACAAAAGCCGTGTTTTACCTCTTTCTGAATGTTGAGCGGTCTATGAGCATCTTAAAACAGAAAATTTTATGATTGAATCACTAATTTGATTAATAAAACATACAAGGTATGACTTAATCCCAAAAAGACTACTACTTTCACCTCCAACATAATTCCCTGAATCCCTGATCATCCCCTGAACTACAAAAACAATTAACATGTAAAATCAACTTCACAGTCTTTTTGTTTAATCCATCAAATGGGAATTCTCCAAATTTGAAAAGGCAAATTTCCCCAAATATTTATTAACACACTAAATTTAGCACAACCCCAGAAAAATGCAACCTAGAAATACAAGTAATTTGCACCCAAATACAATAAATCCCAATATCAATTAGGCATTAAAAATAACACCAATTTTAACATATAATACGAAGTATATTTTATATATTCAGCAAAAATTTAACAAGCACTAAATAAATTGCAAAGAAAGAGAGGAAGCAAGATAATTACAGTGATAAGATCGTTTCCTTTGAGAAAATTGATTTGGAGCTTGTGCTTAGGTTTGATAACTGGGAATTCCACCTTTTGATCTCCCATTTTCCAGATTTCTTCTACTTGCACTTTGCTTTCCTCAACTCTCTTCCTCTTTTTCTCTCTCTCCTCTAGTTTTCTATGTCGAATCAGCTCTTCCATGATTTGGACCTTCGCAAAAATCTGGACCAACTCGTATTTTGACCGAATCCGAACATTTGCAAAGAATGTGTCAGGGATATTGGTTTGGGCCTCTCTAATATTATGATTTCGTCCTTTGGTCCAAAAGTTTCTTATAATAACAGATGGACATGGACTGTGCCGTGCCGTGTAGCCTGTAGGTACATGTGTCATGTCAACGTACTTCGTACTCGTACTCTAATGCCGAGTGTTTAGATTAGGAAGAAATAGTTGTGCTATGGTGATGTGTATTAATTTATCATAAATGAATAGAAATCACGTTTAGCTTGACTTACTACCTCCGTTTTCTATTATGTGCAACAAAGGAATATTTTATGTCTCACAAATAATACCCCTTTGTTGCACATGATAAGAAGCGGAGGTAGTATATTGACTGTCGTGTTAGTAAACCCCTTTTAAAAAATATTATTGATAGATTGGTAAAAAAAAGTGTGCAAACACACTCGTCGTGCTCGTGCTGCTATCATCGTACCTCTCGTCTCGTGTCGTGTCGGACTTGTGATAGGCTTAAAGTTTGTGCCATGTTGGGCCTTTCTGGTGCTTGCTCAACCATGTCCATCTCAAATTCTCAAGTGATATTCTTCCTCATGCAATGTGTTGGGGTCTTTTTTTTCTTCAATAGATAAAATAAATATATAGGGTTGCATTTAAAACTTAAAAGCACTTCTAAAAAATGTTACTGAATTTCCATTAAAACTAATGATTAGTTATTCTTAATCTATCATTCCTTAAACTTCTTACATGTAGACCTTAGGGTCACATTAATCATTTTCCTTAATCATAAATTAATATAACATTCATAAATAAATTAGATTTAGAAAACATGAATGTTTAATATTACGAACTAGTTATTGACCCGGGCGATGCCCTGAATCATCATAAAGTATAAGTTTGATTAAATTAATTTAGAAGAGTTAATATTGAACAATATTTATAAGTAATAACTAAATGAAAATGTAATAAGAGGTCAATATGAAGAGTTTTTCAATTAAATTAAACACAATTATTTATTATTAAAGTTATACCAATGAAGAGTTTTTGTTAAAAGACTAAACATTAATACAATTCAATATGGTGAAAGAGGAAAGATGACACATAGGATGACATGCAGTGCACATGTGGCATAAGGATGACACATGTTGTTAGTATGTTGCTCCCATGAGTTTTAATAATACTAGATGAAGCCCGTGCGATGCACGGTTTGTTAGTTATTTTTTTTAAAAAATATTTTTCATATTTATGTGATTTTTGTTACTACGTATTATATTAGCTTTAAAATATTAGATAAAATTTCTAATCTTAAAAGATAATATTTTGTATTTAATTAATTTAAACTTTAAAATTTCATTCGTCAATTTTGCTAACGTGGCATTTGAATTATTTAATTGTAAAATAAATTAATAATCTCTTATTTAATTGGCTACAACTTAAATTCATAATCCTACATGGCACGCTAAGAAAAATAAATCGTATGTGCCTCTCTAAAAACTCGGGGAAAAACTCCCCTTTATATATATATATATATATATATATATATATATATATATATATATATATATATATATATATATATATATATATATATATATATATATATTAGATTATAGATTTATTAGTAATACAAATTTGCTATTAAATTAACTACAATAAATAATATTACACTGGGCTACGGCTTGTCTTCATATATATATTTAAATTAACATAAAACTTTAAACTTCTATTGTAAACATTTGAATTATATATATTAATTAGGTAAATTATTTCCAATCAAAAGATAAATTGCAACAATACTCTTAACAGTATATCAGTACAAGTTGAAGTAACATTGTAACAATAATATTGTCACGTTTCAAATGACACGTTATATTCTATAGACAGTTGTTTCTGTCTGGATCTGATTTCCCAAGAATTCGGACCTGAGATCCTGATACTCCTATCGGCAAGCCGAGAACCTACACAATGAGAAGAAGTTAGCTAACCCCGGGGTGGTCCGGGGATAACTACTCCGATGACAAAGTCAGAAAGTGTTCCAGAGAAGAAGATAAATATGAGAGAGAAAGTAGAGAGAGAGAGAGAGAGAAAGAGTAATTCATGCCCCCATAAATGAGGTCTTACCTACTATTTATAATGATCCACTTTGACAGGTGGCTCTCATCCATGCAAAGCCTCCTGCGCCAAGTGTCGAGCTTCTGTTGCCACGTGCCGAATTCCGACAAGCCAATATGTCTGCTTTCTGGTGCATATCGGCGCCTTTTCACAATTATTCAGAGTTTGGTCACGTGCTTTTACAAGATATCGGTCCTACCTAGATATCATCCCATACAATTAGCCCCCCAAGTGAGGACGCATTATCACACATCATCGTTCTCAGTTAATGTAGCCGACAAACTTAACCTAACCAAACAAACTTTGGGTTCCACTTCTCATTCTTCGAATTTTACCTCACCTTGGAAGTTTCATGTGATAACGTTTCTTGTACTCTGTCAAGCACTGTTGAGTGGTTATTCCCGGACCACCCCGGGGTTAGCTAACTTCTTCTCGTTGTGTAGGTTCTCGGCTTGCCGATAGGAGTATCAGGATCTCAGGTCCGAATTCTTGGGAAATCAGATCCAGACAGAAACAACAGTTTAACAGTATTTATAGCAACAAATTTTAGAATGAAATGAAAATAATAAATGGAACATGCATGATATTCAGAATGAAAATAATTGCGACAACTGACTAACATTATTCACTTATTCAGTTCTTCTTTTTTTTTTTAATTACTTAGCTTTCTTCACCTCAATAATGACTCACATATGACCATATAGTCGACCCATACATGATAATGATAATAATAATTTTGACGAATGATAATAATAATAATAATTTTGTTTCTTATTTTTCTGTAGCCTATGTTTCAAACACACGCTCCTAACTCTTGTCATCTTCCCCACATTATTCTATTATTTGTAATGATCATCCTTAACTATAATATTATTATGTATGATCCATTACTCAGTTTTTAGTTTATATAAAAGCTAAAATATATAAACTAGCTTAATTGATTAAAATAATTATTAAAAATACATTTGATAGCTAGTGTAACTTGAAACCGATCAATGATCAAATTCCACATGCATGAAGGACAAAATGTCAATTAGATTAAGATATTAATTACATACACTCTATGTTTCTTCAAGTATTATAACTCTCTTTGTCAAAAAAAATAAAATAAAGTATTACAACTCTCTTAATCGTTTTTTTTTAAAGTGTCACATTTTCATTTTTGGAAATTTATTCCATCTTTTACACTATGTATCATGTATTTCTTCTCTATCATCATTATCTGTCTTTGTACGTAACTCTCTAAACATTAAAAAAATAGAAAAAGAGAGTATATATTCTTTTATTCTTTTATTTTTTTATTCCCTTATATTAATACTTTTCTTTCACATAATTTGATTTTCAATAAATTATTTTACTTAATATTAACTAAGGCAGCTAACACGCGTGATACGTGCGCTATATTCAAAATTTCTTTTGATTTGACTTTACACAACAAATTAAATTGTAAGAGCTGAGTATATCAATTAATTGTTGTACTCCTTATCAAATTGAAAAAAATCAGTTATCAAATTACATCTACATACATTATTGCATATTTTATGGAACCTGACTTATATCTTCACCATTTAATTTTTTAATTATTCTTTAGTCAAAATGAGACATTATCCTTGTAACATTATGGTATTCTTTTCAATAATTTATGCTTCCTATAACTTCAAAATTTGAAACAGTTCCATCTTTCTTTCTCTCTCTCTAGCTGGGGTTTGTCAGTGTTGAAGGGGCCTTGATTTTAGTGAAGATGGTCAGGAATATCATACATGTTGAGAGGAATCTTCAATGTTTTGAGCGTTAATATTATAACTTTAGAATCTAATAATCTGATGTCATGTTAAAAATCTAGCCGTTGCACCGAAAATAACTTAACAACTGTTATAATAATAACCAACTAAATCAATGAGTGAATAAAAAGTGTGATTGTACGTGAATATGTATGTAATAAAGTTTAACATTTTCAGTTCTTTTGGTGTTGGTTTGTCGTCCTCTTTTGGTGAAGAAAGAAATCTTCTCTATAGTTTGTAATTTTACTGTTTGGAATCTGTTTTTTTTTTTTTTTTTTTTTTTTTGCTGCTTTATTTTTCTTCTTTTCACTTTTGATCCACTTTTTTGTTTCTAATGCATGGCCTTTGCTCGTCGATAATTAGTAAAGGTGCATGTTTACATGAAAAAAAGGACATAAAAATTGCGGTTTTTGAGTTAAGAGTATTGGTAATGGTAATAGAAAATCAGAAAGAGTCCTCAATCGTTTTTTATTAATTGTATTATAATCAAGCAAGTAATATGCATGGCAATAGCGCAATGAACTTAACACGAGTTTGATTATTGAATTAGAATTTTACGTATAGTCATTTTTTATAAGTTGTCTAACTTGTTAGACAAATTGACTTTTTGTGTCAAAAAATAAGCTATGGAGTAGTAAATATCGAGAAAACTAATGCGAAGTACTTGGAACACTATTTGATGATCCAATAAGGTAGTAAAACAAATTAAGACCTGATCAACTCAAGAATTTAGTGTACGAGTCTTACCAAGTGAGTCAAGTTCTTACTTGCTATATGACTTAAGCATGTAGTTTTTTCAACCACAAATATCATGTTGTATGAATTTAAAAGATCAGACATGTGCCACACCTTAGGCACATCATGCACCCAGGCGCACATACAAAGCATTATCACCATGTCATATACGTATGTAGTAACCAACATGATTAGATATGTACAAGTACTTTGTAGTGATCGTGATCCTATCTTTAAATTAATTCATTAATTATAAGCTAGTGACTCCGTACTTATACTATTAGCTACGACAATAAATGTATATGAATGCTATTTGAATTAGGTCGCAAATGTGCCATAGTGATCCGAACTAAAATCTTTTGAAAGAAACAATGTATGTAATTTGGAATTGAAGGTATTATTGCTTTACCTTTCTGAATTCCTTTCTAGAGACTACAGTATTATTTATTCCTTGCATTATTTGGGTCCAAATGAAGTTGTGCAGCAAAATAGCAAATATATATACTACCAAGTATAAATAGTTCACATGCCAATATGCCATCCATGGCCTACAAGAGTACCTTTGGTGTAACTTTTTAACATGCAATGGTTAGTACGGAAGAACCACATAGTATAAGATATACTTCGTATGTACTCATAAAGTCCTAGTTTATAGAAAGGTGTAATCAATTACAATACTATTAAGTTACAATACTATTATAATATACATAGGTATAAACTGATTTTAGAAGGGAGGGAAATAAAAAGATTTTAGAAGATCAATAAAATTGAGTAATAATGGAATTTAATCCCTATAGTGGTAGTTAGTAAGTAATGGTAAATCAACTTTAACAAAATTTGACTAGAGCTTAAGAAACAAATGTTGTTCACTACAGTCTACCGAGTATCTCTTTGAATAATAATTTTTACTCGCATATGTTAATGAAACAGGTCATACACAAAGTTATGCCATAGAAAATTTAGAAGGTATCAAAAAATCAGTGAAAAATCTTGAACACTATAATTAGTACGTGTTATACAAAACAATAACTGTAGCGGATCATGTATATGTTGTCATTCCAACTCTTTACAATTTTTGTTTATGAATCTAAATTTTATAATAACTATCATTTTATGTGTATGATATGGTATTTACGTTCATTTTCAAGCCTGCAATATACCATGTAGTGTCATAAGTGAAATGGATAGTAAAGTTTGTAACTTGGGGGAAAAAAATGGAATATTTAAGTTGAGGACCATTATATAAAGATGAATTGGACCCATCAACAAACAATTTAGACAGTTTACGTTGTTTAGTAGCGGCTAGCGGGCCATATGCATAGAACTATAAACATGTATATTTCTTCAAAATAAATAAACATGCAGCAAATTATTACTTGTAAGTAAATAAACCTGCATGAATATTATGTGTGCTAGTAGTAGTACTAATACGACGTAACAAATTCCACAGACTAGCAACTAAAAAGTACAGTACCAAATCACCAACAGAGTTTTATAGGTGTTTATGCTATACTCATAAGTGGAGTTAGTTGTTTTTGAGCCCTTGCTTACTTTGATGTTTATCATCAATGTATGTGCTTATGTAGGAATGTGTGCATGCTGATTGTTTTTAATTAAACGTGTTAAAATATGTCTTAAATCAGTTAAACCCCATCAAACGACCATTCTTGGATTGGGGTTCAGGGGGAACGCCTCTAAGCGTACAATCTTCGTTATATATGGGGCTACAGTCAAGATCAATAAAACTCTATCTTACATGTTTGTGGGTGTAATTTATACATTGTTAGCAAATCACATAAATATGTGTTTTTTATGTCTATTTTTATTCTCGCATTTTTCTCAATAAATTGAAAATAAGAAACTAATTTAATCCATTCTTAAAGGATACCAAAAGATAAATTAGGTCCTAACTACTTCAACTCGCTACCTTACTCATAAAATAAACCTTTAATATTAAGTATCAATAGTCATGAAAGATCAGTGTGATTTTATTCTTTTCCTACCATTCAAATTGAATTACAAAAAAATTATACTTGTATAATATATATAGATAAGATTCAATCACAAGAGCTTAAAACTATATTAAATTACTAATATATACGGGTATATTAATATAGACGGAATTCAATCACAGGAGCTTTAACATTTTTGGGAGGGGAACAAAGAAGGGCACAATGAAGCTAGAGGGGGAGAGACAAGAAGTTTGGTTGCACAAACACAAAGATGACACCTAGCAAGCAAAAATCAGTTATCATATGCAAATTTACACTCTGCTCGATCAGCTGCTACACCTGAAATAATCTTATATGGCCTTCCCCTTTTCCCAAGAGGAATACCTTCAATTTTATCTTGCGTCACCCATGATTTTTATCAACAACAACAAACAACAACTAACGGATATAATTTTTGATTTTACCAATACAATTTCTATACTATTATATGGTACTATTAATATGCAAAATCTTACTTAGATCATGATTATATTTATTTAATCTATAAGACTTTTTAAAAAATTAAGGGATAATTAGTACTTGATAGGATGTCACATGAGCGTAATGGTTGAATTAATTTTTGCAGATCCCTAATAAACATATCCACACCACACCACCACCTTGTGTTTTAAATCTTTTAATGATTTATTTATTTTATTATTACTCTAGAAAAATTTGGAGGGATTTTTATCTTATTGTTGAAAGAGCTCAAATTTTGAACTAAAGTTGTGTATTTTAATGGGGTATGTTGAATGTATAGTACAATTTATAAATTTCCCAAAATATTTCTACTATAGGGTTTTTGATCTTGACTTAACATAACAAAAAAAGGGAGCAAAAATACACAAACAATATTCTTATATCACCTTTTTCTTTTTGGGGATGAAAACAAATGAAACGAGTGTAAAGATTAGTTATATTGAGTTGGACAATTAATTGTGGTTCAATCAATTTTTTCTTTAATCGAAGGGACTTAGAAACATTTCTTTTCACTTAGAGATTGTAAAACGACTACACAGGTTTAATATAGTTCAATTATTTTATAAGAGATATTTTATTATTCATATGTAATTCTGTCTTATTGATAGGAAAATACTTTATTTTCCCTTGATGTGGTTGTGTTAGGAATAGTCTTTTCAATCAACTAGTCTCAAACAAGTTAGTACTATTAGAAATATATAAAATCATTGACTGGACCTCAATAAATTTAAATTTGTGATCGAATGGTCTCATGAAGTGTGGAGGTAAAAGGACCCACATGCAAAGGACATTTCAATGATTGAATAATTATGCAAATGCAAGTCAATGCAACTTACTTAACGAGTTAAACTACTAGAGAGTAGAGACCTATAATCCCAAGACTTCTAATCAAATCTCTCATCTTCTTTAATTAACTTTTTACATGCTTGTACCTTTCTCAACACCAAAATTAAATCTAACCAACAATTCAAGTATTAAATCTTTTACTAGATATATGAATTAGGTTGTGGGAAAAAGGTAGAAAGTTGGTAATTATTCTCTAATTTTAGAAGTATGAAAGCAAAGAAATACTCTGTGCTCCGTATTAATTTTCTCCTACATATGCGCAAGGTTTTGACCAAAAACAAATTTTGAAAACTAGGAACGTACTGATTGCTCATTTATTATACTTCGTGTAACAAAATGTGAAAAATTCTATCAACTATATCTTAATTAGCTAAATAAGGAATAAGAAAATGGTGAAAACTACGACTAGAAAAGTTATATGAAAAGACACCACTAGATCGATTGAAAACCAAATAGGAGTATTAGCCAACTACAACTATGGATGGTTCTCTTGTAATTGCTCCGTACAACATAATCAATGGTGCATTTGGTTTCAAAACTTGTTGACAAGATGTGACAAGTTTTCTGTAGCAAAATACTTAAACATAGTTCTCTTCTTCTATTTAATCCAAAAAAAAAAAAAAAGCTTAGAAAGATTAATTTAGCAACCAAACCTAGTCCATAGACAAATCAATTTGATAGTGACATGGAAACAATTTTGTCAAAGTAGGCATAAATAGACAAATATAGAGAAATCAATTAGATTAAATTCATTCAAATAATATTTATGACAAGCAGTGGCGGAGCCAGGATTTATAATTCGGGGGGACAAATTTTGGAGGTTAAAGTTTCGGCAAAAATCTCAAGAAAAAAATTGATAACCTAAATTGTTTAATATTTATTTGAAATCACATATGCCAATTATTTCTATATGGAAAAAGAGGGGTAAAAAAGTTTTATTGTATATTAAGAAAATTATCCAACAAAAATGAATAAATTTATATTTGTAAATCCTGTTATGTAATCACATAATTGATAAATACGAATTAATTACCTTATCATAAAGTCAAATAATTATCGTTAAAACAAATTGATGGTAGATATGAAGGGCCAGGGTTTGAGTTACATTCGAAAAAATAAACTCAACTTTTTCAAATCAATCATATTATTAATATGTATTTCGTTAAAACACAGTTACAAACAATTAATTAATAGTAATCTATTTATTAGAAATGTAAAAAAAAAAATTGAGTTTAAGCACACTTAGTTAAGCGATAATTAAAAACAAGAAGTAGGAAATAAGAAATAACATTAAAAATCCTAAAACAAGAAATAGGAAATAAAAAATCAAATTAAAAAGGTTGTTGAAAATTAGAGTATGTAATAAAAAAAACAAGAAGTAGGGGAAAAAAAAAAACAAAAAAGCTGAAAAACAGTAGAGTAGGGAATCGAACCTAGGACCAAAACACAACCTTACTAAGGACTCAACCACCAAACCATATTCAATATTGTGATATCTACTGTAAGTATATGTTATTTATAGCCTTTTACTGTATTTTCTTGATTTTTTTTTTTTTAAAAAAACTTTTTTTCCGAAAATGGGGGGACAACTGTCCCCCCTTGTTCTAATGTGGCTCCGCCACTGATGACAAGCTAGCCATAAATCCAAAAAAAAGTCTAGATTAAATTCATGTACAATAGCATATTTCATAGTTTAAGTCATAGCTAGAAAATATATATAGTGTGGTCCATGTAACACCAATTAAACAATCTTAATTACTAACATACCAAATCCAATTAAATATATTAGTCCCCCCAAACTTTTTGAATGTAAAACCTCATGGACTGTCAGTAGTCTAAGCTAAGCTATAATAGATCATATAATAAAATTAATAACAATAACAATTTAATTTCTAATAATAATAATAATTTCAATATTTATAAATTCAAATTCCCAATGAAAGAAAATAAGGTTGGTCTTTTTCCCGGTCTTTGCTGCTGTAAGCACTTGGGAGTGAGTGCTCTCATATAAAAACAACATACAGTTTCAGACACACACACTCATATATTCACCCTTTTCTTTGTACATTTACTTCTTCTAACACCCTTTATTTTTATTTTTTTGAACACCAACTAAATTGATAGAGGAGGAAAAAATAAATATTGCTAGCCTATTTGTTATGGGTAGAGAATGGTACCTAAACTGGGGTACCAAGTCCTCCTCTAAGAAAGGAAAGACGAGCGGTAGTGGTAGTGGTAATGGTAATGGTCGTAGTGGTGGTAGTAGTCGAGGAGTAGAAAGAAAACCGACTACGCCACCAACGGCTACGGTGGCGGCTGCTGCTGCATCTGCAGGAGGATGCATGAATGCTGTACTTCATCTGTTTGATTTTCAGCATTTTCAGTTGTGCTTACATCCTCAAGATGGTTCTTTTCTTCCAGATGACCCCACCCCTCTAAAAGGTAGAACTAGTAGTAACAGTCTTACAAAAGAATCATACTTTTTCTTTTGTTTTTTTAAACCACATTTTCAAATTTTGATTTTTCTTTTTTGGTTCTCAATGTTCAGGTGTAGAAGCGCCAAGAAACAGCTTGGAATCAGTCACAGAAGAAGATAAGGATGATCATTTACACATTTCTGTAAGATTTTCCACCCTCTTTCAAAAAAAATCATTATTAATGGTTTCTTAATCTTCTTATTCTATATATGATAAAAATAATGTTATGCTTTTCAGAAGGATATTAAGAGGAAAACGAATCGAAGAGACACAGCGCTGAAACTAGTCCAAGTGCCAAGAGGTAAAATAGAAGATTTGTCATCAGAAAGCAGTTGTTCTCCTGCAAGTGCAAGGACACCAACCCTTGTAGCAAGGCTAATGGGCTTAGATATTCTCCCAGAATCAAACACAACAACACCAAGATCATCACATTCTCAAGCATTTTCTCCACACATAAGATCCTCAACCCCTCCCATTTCCACCAAAACAAGAAAATCTTGTAGTGCTTGTAGTACTCCTGGTACTAGAGCCTCCTACAGTGACAACGGCCCCGGCCCCCGGTCCTCGCCCGAGACACCAAGATCATTGCAATCAACAAGAAGACGGTCCATGGATGTTGTTGATCACCATCGATTATCTCTCCAGATCAACAAGGAGAACAACATTCAGAGGGAGATGGAGTTATCGCGGCCTTCATGTTCCGCGATAACTACCAAGAGAAGAGATGGGAAAAACTATGATGCTGAAGAAGTTGCTAAGAGTCCTAGCTATTATGCTAGGCAGATTATGAAACAAGTTAAGGAAACTGTTAGTAGAAGAGTTGGTGTTGATATTACTAACACAATTGGTAGAGAACATAGAAGAGATGAACATCTTTTGTCATCTTCAACAACAAAAGCAGCAACAACAATAAAACCCAAGAAGTCCAAAAAAGATCAGTCTTCGCCGAGGTATAAAACTTACAGTGACGAAAACCATAAGCATACGAACTCGAAAAATTCGGAACAGCTCCCACCAGCTGTTCCTGAAGTAGTGCCTCCGCCAAAGACGGTCACATTGCAAGCGAAACCAGTCGAAAGCGGGGATGAAAGCTTAAAGAAGCATGTTCAACCTACGACAACGACGCCAAGCAAGAAGCCTTTGAAGTCCTACAATTCAATAAGGAATAAGAAAGAGGAACAATTTGTTCACCCTTCAACAACGACGACAACGAGCAAGAAATGCAAGAAGAATATGTTGTCTAGTGATCTTCTTCACGGGACAGTCCCTTCACTTGTCTCCCTCAAGAAGGATTCTTCTCCAATACCTTCTCCTACAAAATTACTTGACAATCAGGTAACTTTTTTTTTTTTTCTAGCCCAAGTTTCCGTACTATATAACGGTTGCATTGGATATTTTAATTCTTATTATTATGATTATATATGAATCTACTTTCTTTTGAGTTTGTATTGGTTTCTTCATAGTCAAAAGATAGTCATACTAATCAAAAGTTTTAAAAAATTATTCATAGGGAGTTTCATCAGAAGCTCAGCTTTCAAAGCGGCTTATCATCAACAACACCACCAGCACCACCACCACGGCACGGTTATCTCGTTATCCGAGACAACGGATAGACGAAAAGAGACAAGAAGAAGCGACGCATACACCCACCGACCGCTGGAGGAGTGGTAGGAAGGATGCAGGTACAGGTACAGGTACTTCCGTAATGGAGTTTCAGTACATCAGTAGAATACTGAAATGTACTGGAATTGACAGAGATACCCCTGTTTCATTTATGAGGTGGTATTTACCATCACACCCTTTAGACCCATCAATTTACCACACTTTAGAAGCTACTCACTATATTACAACTAGTGACAGATTTTGTGAACAGTTAAATCTTTCAATTAACAGAAAGCTAATATTTCATTTAGTTGATGAAATGTTAGCTGATATGTTAAAACCTTATGTTAAACTCAAGAATCATTATCATCGTCGTCGTCATCAGAAAAATCATCATGATACACAGATGAATGGGTTTCAATTAGTGAAGACGTTGTGCTCGAAAATTCGAAGTTTTCCTAGTGCAGATTGTCAAACACTACAAGATATTGATGCACTTGTTGAGAAAGACATGCCAAGAATTGGAGCAACGAGTGATATGATTGTTTACCACGACCAAGGCGAAGGCGACGACATTGTTACAGAGATTGAACGTTATATTATGGACTCACTAGTCCAGGAAATGTGCTACATTGGTTAGTAGAAGTAGCAGTTTCCATGCAAATTACTATTAGATTAGGGAAGATTGATGTTAGTGAATAATAATGATGATGTAAATAAAATGTTTGTTTTAGTTAGTTGAGATTTTTCTTGTTGTTTGATTCAAAAATAGGATTTAGGAAATGATGAGTGGGACCATGTAAATGTTAGTCAAATGGGTTCTAATTAGTGATTTTTGTTAGTCGTTGGCTTTTGTTGGTTGCTTCTGTTAGTATATCCATTAACCTTATTAATACCACAAATATAGAAATAATAAAATTTGAATTGAGCTTAATACTTTGAATAATGTTTCTCCAATGATATGATGAAGGTGATCAGAGGCTTAATCTCGGACATTTAGGACCGCGATTATTTTTTACATTATTAATTTGCGAAAATCTATGTGTATTAGAGTAGTTATGGTCCTTTTGGAGTACATGGTCCTCAGCTATAAGGGTCTATTTTGGATTATTTACTCAAGTCACACCTTCTTGGACAAATCCCATTTCCTAGAAGGTAAGGTGCTAATGAGTAATTTAATCTCTTTGAAAAATGTGAGCCATAAAAGTTGAATTCTATGTTATGTTGTAATGTTGAACTTATTCAAGATTAGAGTTTAAACTTGGTTTGATTAAGCATATATTCTCTGTATATTTTAATTGTATAGTTAACTAAAAGTTGAAAATGGAAACTAGTGATTCTGCAAATATAGCTGTTGAATAAGTTCAAAATGATGAACTTGCGTGATGAACATGTTTGGGTTAGATGAATATATTGATAGTTGGTTTTAAGACAAAGGGGAATATTTATTGAATATAGATTACATTTGTTAGCTTCTCAATTCAACTCCATTTCAATGAGTTTTATCTTTAATTTCAAAAAAGTTATCATCCATGTTAAAACTTTAGGTTAAAATTCTAAAATGACATATTATATATATAATGTACTCCCTTCATCATTTAAATTTTTTTTTATGAGGGTACAATCATCATTCAAATAAGAACTATTAAGATGGATTAAAAAGTTTACAATTTAAAGAAAATCTAGAGACTTTTTTTTAAAAAAAAAAAAAAAAAAAAAAAAAAACCAAGGGTATGTTCACTTCAGCTTAATTTCAGGTCACTTCAGCTCTAATAAATTCAGTTTCTAATTTCCTTCTCATAAAATATTTAGTTCAGTTAATCAGTTTAGCTTAAGTATGAAATGAAACACTTAAGTAACTAACCTCATGGTATGGTTGAAAGATGAAGACAATGCTAATTGTATCATGTTTCTTAACAATAATATCCTAACTAGTAAGAAAAAAAGTAGGAATCATAAATTCATAATAATATGGTCTAAAAATGATGGCACAAGACAAAGTGGGAGGAGTCAGAAAGAAGAGTGAATACACCTGAATGAAAGGGAGAGTAAGAGAAAATTGGGCATAAAAAATAGCACATGGGCCATTCACGTGACGAGCTACTGCAATATTTTGTTGGTAATGGTCCCAAGCCCATGCTTGGAACCTTGCCCATTTGGAGACTCATATATTTTCGAACTTACACGTGGGATGGTTGGAATTTTCTTTCGAAAAAAAATAAAAAAAAACTTTCAATTTTTTTTTTTTTTTTTTATGAAAACTTAAAATTCTTTTTGAATGCTAAAACTTTGGGGACAGTAACTGTTTTGGCAAAGGCTAGCCAACAATAACTGTTGTTATTGGCAAGCAAAAACATAACAAATGGCAGTAAAAATTAAATAAAAGGATGATTCCTTCATTTTTGGTGGTTTGTTAGTTTTGCCTTTTCCTATGGTTTGCTCCTCAATATTCTCTCCATGCAAAATTGATGATATACATTAGCAAATAGGGTATTTTGTTTTATAATGTAAGTTGATTTTCAATATTACTTATATAGGTACGGAGTACAAACTACTGAAGTTTAATGTTGTCCGACTCTCCTCCTAATACGAGTTTAGAACTTTGGGGTATGCCTAATAAGATAAGCGGATCCTATAAAATGGTTTATTATATTATATGTTGTTGACAACACATAAGGCGGATCGAACCAAAGGGTTATCATAGAAGTACAAGGTTAATATTGAAGGGTGAAAAATGTAACTTCTACAAGTTTTAGAAGAGAAACAAAGATAGGTTAATGCTATAAATAAAAAATACAAGTACTGAAGAAGGAAAGAGTCAACAAGTCACAGAATTTTCGGGAGTTTTGAGCATTGGCATTATTACAATTGCCATACTATAAAAGCAGACGTACAAGTAGTTAATACATGGTGTTATGAATTGTCATTTCATAGAATTCAATGAGAAAAATGGAAGACAAAGATGTATAGTGAAAATAATATTCAATAAATTAAACTATAGGGACAAAACTGCAGAGTTTCTTACATGTATTTACCTATTAATTACTATTGTATCAGAAAGAACACTCTAATTTTGCAGATGTCAGTACAAATATAAAGAGGTAAAATTAAAGGAAAACTTTACTACTACTCCGTAGTACTCTGTATTTTTGGTATATTATAATGCTACTATGAGTTTTACAGAGTAATTTTTAGGAGTAAAAGAGAGCTTTTTTGTACAGTAGTACTCTTTACAATTTTACAGATGTTTAGCAGCAGATCCTGTTTTGTTTTGTTTTCCTTTTAACTTTATTTTGCAAGAATTACCTTCAATTTTGTGTGATTTTGTCCGAAAACAAAAATAAACAAACTCTGCCAGGATAATTAAGTATTGTGAAACAGGTATTGTGAAGCTGGTAACTTTTTCTAATACAATGTCGATTTCAGTTTTTTTATCTAGCTCGGTTCATTAAGTGTTACAAGTGGAACTCGTGTCCAAGTCGGCTCATTAACACCCCTACTCTGATGCCCTTTGCCCCTGTGCGGCTGTGCCCTAAGACAAATGAACTGTTTTCTTGAGGCTAATAATGTGAGATCACTAAAAGAAAGGGAAAGATGGGATAAAAGTGACACTTCCCTTTTCTCTCTTCTTAGGTGGAACTGACTCTTCTATGAAACCGAAAGTGATGATAAACCTGTCAGTAAGAAGTGCCATAACTTTTTTTTTTTTTTTAATGAAGATGATATTGGTGGGATTTTTATTTATTTATTTTTTGATTAGTTTTTTTTAGTAGAGAAAAGTTGGAAGTTAAATGGGTAAGATAGTGGCTTCAACGTGTTGCAGAGGTACAGAATGCAGTAAATACACTCAGACGAGCTTCAGTAAATTACATTTTAATATGAAAGTGGAGAATTCAAAAGAATATAAAGATTTAGAAAACATGGAAAAATAAATCAAGAAAAACGGAGTGATAAAGTGATTGATTAATAGAAGGAGAAAAAAAAAAAATCGGTGTTGCTCGAATTCTCAGAGTTTATGCTTATAATTTAAAATAAAAGTTTTAAAAATTTAGTTTAAAAAAAATCGACAGTAAGATATTGATATTTTTGACTGACCATATATTGGGATTGCCATTCAATTAAAGCGGGTTCGCATTAATTGCTCGACAAGTAGGATAATGCAGCTCATGATCGAACTCAAATTCAAAGAAAGTTGTTGAAATCACTATTCTCAACTTAGAAGTCAATTAATTTTTTATACTGAATCAAGAGAAGATTTATTTACAGCTACCAAGAGCTTTGCCCTTTCCCATGTTTGTGTTGAAGATATTAAGTTGAACAAAATATTGCAAAATAACCAAGATTCCTATTTTGACCAATGAAAATCATGTAGGTAATGATAAGAAAATCAACATATAGATACTTTGATCTTTGTCATTGACTAATGATGAATTCACGATGAAGGTGATCATAAGTCATAATGACCCCGAAAATTGAAAATGCACCAATTCACAATCACCGATAAAGGAGCTAGCCTTGGGTGGTAAAGTCTAGGCGAGGGATGTGCATTATACATTTATACTACACTTAGAATCGAATACCGTCTACATTATTGTCCACAATTACTACCAAGTAAGGAAATCAAACGGGGTAAAAATGCATAACGGAAAAAAGGTGAATCTTAGGAGCCCAAAAAAGGGGAATTCAGGTGTGTAATTGTCAGCAAAAAAAATGAGTGTGGCATGCATGAAGAGAAACAACTATCACTCTCAAGATGTGAAGTGCAGTAATTACGTCTAACTTATTTTGAATTGGTAACTTATTATGCATTCATTCAAGCAGCAGAAAATGCAGAGATTCTACTTGGTCAATTTAATTGGCGCATCAAGATGAAAAAACTTCTGAAAATGCAAAAAAGTGAATGAAGGTTTTTTAGGAAAATATTCTACTTTGCATCTTCCACATTCACTCACACTCTTTCATCAATTTGTCCTCCTGCATCCTCAGTTCAATATTACCCTCACGATATTTTTTCAGGATCATTTATAGGCTGAGTTTTGGACTGTTCATTGCCACACCGTACAAGTCATTCAATTTTAACCCACATAACTCCTTTTAAATTGCTAAATGAAAGTGCAGAACTCAATAGACAACTTTCCCTATTTTGTAGGTAGTCGAACTTATGGAGTATTAGGAAGTGCAAATTGTTTTTGTCAACCAAATTTCAATGTAAATCAAACGATCACGTACGAAAAACTAGTTTACCAACCAGCCCACCCTAGCTGTAGCCTAGTTCAAAAGCCGTCTCTCAACTTGAAACCCTAAATGTAAAATCGATCCAGAAAATCAACCCAAAACAACCTGGCCTAAACATGAAATTACCTACTCGAACCAAACCATTAGACAAATCTACTTTCTATACCCCTAAGCTTCTCAAAACAGAAAAGTACCAACAGGATACAACATTAACCCATAGAAACAAGAATAGATAGTAAAACTGTGAAGGTAATGGTAATTGCCTGAAAATTGAATGTTGACTAGCTGTTTAAAAACAGAATCTGGGTTCCAAATAAAATAACTATCACATTCAACCCTCTATCTAATGTCCTTTAAGGATATTGCAGTCCTGTGAATTTTATAGCTGGTGGTGGACCTTTTGCGTCAGCTTGATATAAACTGCCAAAAATTGAATGCGATGAAAACAGAAAAATATGATCCAGTACTTGTACTACATTCAGAGCTCCATCATTATATCATCAGTCATTTTCCACTCTGGAATTTTCTTTATTTTTTTTTGGTGGTGGTGGTGGTGGGGCGTTAGGGTTTTAATTTCACTCAGATCTTTCTAATTTCTGGATATATTTCCGTATTTATAATGGGGAAGGCTTGGCTGGTAAGAGTACAATTTCTTCCAGGTTTTGACGTGATTGTTGAATGTTGATATTCAGCCATGACTATACCTGGAGATTTGTCTTTCTTTTGCCTCACTCCCCCTTCCTGTGAGGACAAACAAAGGGATCTATTCCAGCCTTAACTCTTGTTTCTCCCCATTTTCCTCATGCCTCCTATACCTCATATCTAGATGAGAGAATTGATAAAACTGATCATCTTAATTCAGCTCAGGCATTGTTAACTCATCTTAGCGATTAGGGCTTTTAAAGAGCACAACATTATAATTTTTTTTAAGTATTAATAAGACCCAGGATCCAGATCATCTTAATATCATGTACTGGTTTTTTTTTTTTTTTTTTTTTTTTTAATCTTGTTTATCCTGCTGCCAAAAAAAAAAAAAAAAAAAAAAGATCCTAAGACTCCTAATACAGTTTGCTCCAGATATAGAAAGTTCAAAAGTCTCACAAGTTACTATGCTCTTAAGTGACTATATGTATTTACTAAATTCTACAGGTTTGAAGGATGGCCGTGAGGGTTTTGCTGCAATGAGGCCTACATCTTACGAATGAACTATACAACTAACTAAGTTGAAAACTTCAGTACCACCCAAGAACAAATTGCAAAATCCCCCCTATTTGGAGAAAAAGAAAGATTTAAAATCAAGGCCATCAAGCACACATGAAGTTTAAGATGAAATCACAAAAACATCCTACAAACATGATGCTGATCAAAAGTGAGAACAAATTAGTCCAGCTGGCCAGCCTAAATGTCTCTCTTGTAAGTTGCTACCCATTCCATGTGCAACTTTATGAGCTAAAGGAGGAGATATACACAAATGATCATTTGGATTTAAAAAGTAGTAAAAAGGTTTATATAGACCTAAAGGCGGAGATATACAGACAACGCGGTGATAGCAAAGCTCATGAGAAAAGCACCAAAATTAGAGAAAAAGAAATATTATTGATCTGAAGTATCAAGGTGAATTCATCCCAAGATAAGTCTGACCAGCAGAAAAGCACAATTTACAAATGAACTACAGCCAACAATAAACACGACTCACAAGACAAATTGCTTAAGCAGCTAACTTTATTGATATGAGTTTGAACTGCAATCAGATATTCTAACATCTAAAATCTAATGTAAATGAGACAATCACTATTCACAAATGAAGATCTAATCCAAACTATAACAGGATGTAAAGAATCTAAAATAAATAAGAGTACCTTTTGCACATAATCTGAGACACTTTTCTCATCACAAACCTTGACATGCCACTGAGATCCACTCAACTTCTAGTATCCACGTCAAACCCAGAACCAGTCCAGCCAGTCACAGACCCTCTCCCTTTTGACAATGCCCCAACTCCTCTTCCTTTTCCTTGTAATAGGTTTTTCTTCTTCCCTCTTCCTTCTCCATCAGCACTAGGTGGTTGATTATGAGCAGTAACAGTGGGTACACTTTCATGAGTTTCATCATTTCCTTGACTTGGAGTGTTTGAAACCACCCCATTTACTTCTTGCGTCAAAGCAGCAGCTGATGCATTATTTGGCGTGCTATCCTGCAAAATTTCATTACAACATCAAACAGAAACTCAGTCTTAGCACCCATAAATCATCCATCTTTGTCAGCACAAGTAGAACATATATACTGCTTCCTCATCCAAAACCTACACCACATATATCAGTTGTTTTAAATTTTTAATAAAACTAATATCGATTTCTGCTATTATTTACTACTTATACGACTCTTTCTCCTTCAAAAGTCCTGTTAAAATGGATGACTCTACATATGGGGAGGTGAAAAGTCAAGAGTGAAGAGTGCACACACTCTCCCTGCATCCCATAAATCTAACCTCAATAGGTTGATGCGATCAATAATTCCACAATACTGATTTGTTGCATGCAGTCTACCCTATATATCTTCTAGAGAAGTAGTTTAATCACTTTAATGGCTCTAATAAAGAACGTTCAACAATTCATTGCGAAACTCAGACAAAGAACATATAACCAGTATAATTACACAAAAGGAGTCATTATAGAAGCAAAGCCAGATTTCCACCTTCTCCAACCACTCCCCCCGGCCCCCAAAATTATTAAATAAAAAATATATTGAAGCAGAAATAGAGTGGGAGCAGCTTCATGCTTACTAGGACAGCAAGCTAATGAAAAACAATCCCGTTGATATTGATTGTGTGAAAGGAAACACATTTATCTAAATTCTTGCAATATCCTCAAAAAGAATAGAACAGAGTGCTGCAGAACAAAGACCGTGAACAGATTCCATTTTGATAACCTTTAACCAACAAAGAAAACAACATCTCCAAACAACGTGCATATCGGAAACAACATACAGGCATAGTAGATGTTGACGCTCTTCCTGGATTCAAAGCTTCTAGCCGCCTTTTCAACTGCTCGAGTCTTGCATACTGGGAGTTACTGCTTTCTTGGACCTAGTATAGATAGCGGCATCAGAAAACAGCACATACATACAAGTAATCAAGCACATAAAACACGAGGTATATGGATATACCAATTGGTTCAGGTCCTCACATAGCTTCTGCTTAACTAATTCTTCATCCTGCACAACTTTTAAAGCAGCCTCCCATACCTGGCATTCAGAAAATATTCGGCCAACACAATTTGTAAAATTGAATATAACAAATCAAACGCATTGATACAGAAACATGGTATATATATTCCAAAATATGGTGCATTTGGTACACAAATCTAGTAATAAAAAGGACAGAGATAACAATCCAGTATACCGGCGGAATTTCACAGGATTCTTAAAAAACTTGTTATTGCTCTTGAGAAAAGACACAAAAGGAGTCGTATGAAAATTGTAAAAACTTACTCCCCACCCCCCCCCCCCCCCTCCAACACACACACACATATTCCCTTGAGATAAATGTCTCCTTAATTAGAAAAGGCTATACTTTTGGTATCATCTTTGTTTAACTTTTGATCGCAAGGTCGAGGTATCCCACCCTACTAAAACTTTAACTATAAGTAGGCATTTTTTTCAACACAGCCAGAAGCTTTAAATAACTTTGTGATTCTAATGTTTTTTTCTTATTCTTTTCAAAATTCCTAACTTATCATAAACACTCTTCCCATTTTATCCACCCAAACTGCGTTGTCACAAAATAGCATACAATAATCCACTCTCTTCCTCATATTGCTTTGGTAAACCCATAGATACACAAGTATGCAACCATGGTGCAAAAGGAATGAATTTGAGAGACATAAAAGCAATAAAATTGCAACAATTTTAGATGACAAAAGATCAATCTAAAGAAGATGTAGATATGTTCTCCGATGGTAGTCCAACATGATTTCAAATTGAAGCAATATCTATCAGAGTCTAAGTTCCAAACTAATGTCTAGTCACAACTCACAAATAAACAGACTAATACAGTACTTCACAGATAACAATTGAACGATCTTATCCTTCTTTCACAAATTAACAGGGGGGAAAAAAATTGATTTAATAATTTAAAAAGGGTCACTTACTGACTCTAAAAACAATAATACCAAACCAATGAGGTGGTAGGATCTGAAGAACATCTAACAGTGTAACTGCCAACAAAAAATGCCAACTCAAGTAAAGAAGCAAGAACCTTTTTTGCTTGTTCTTCCTTGATCTTAGCCGCTTTAATTTGCTCATTTTGAAGCTCAATCTTCTTTCTCAAGTGTTCAAATGCTGCAGATATCAGCAAATGAATTTCTTTTTAGACATTCCCCAAAAAAATCCGCCTCTATTCAACAACGTTTGTTCTTTTTACCACTTTCATATATTCCAAGTTGATTGGTGTAAAAAGTTGGTAGATGCACAAGCTTACATTGTTTTACTTCGGCATCCTCCTCGATTCTTAACCATTGATTTAATGCAATCTCTTAAACTAATTCCATTCTAAACATGTATAGAGATAGGAGGAAGGCTAGTCAAAATAATTAAGGTCAACAGTATATGTAGCAAAGCTAACCTGCATGCTTTGATCCTGCCGTAAGTTTCAGCTCCAAATTGAGGTTGGCAAATTCACGTTCAACATCACGAATTTTTGAATAATTTTCCTCTATATATCTGACAAATGCAGCAAAAAGAAGATCCAATAAGACCAGCATCCATGCAAGGATGTAGCAATATACAACACACTACAATCACAAAGTAAAACAATGACATATATGATCAATGCAATACATGTCTGGTTAATGCTATTCCTCTTTTCATAAATATAATTAATAGCGAAAAGGCAATTGTTCCACACATTCGGTCAACAAACGTGATTCCTCATGCTGAGATAGACCATGAAGCAATGAAGCCTACAGCTTCTTATGAACAAAAAAAGGTCCTTTAAACGCAAGAGTTTGATACCAGCTCAATGACTTCTCTCATTAGAGTTTGATACTTGCAAGTAATACTGCACATATATAAGCCTCACAACAACATACTTCGTATGAAGTATAACTGTATAAGCAAATGCTTTATAGTAGTAATAAGCTTCAGGATTTCAACTGTCACCGTCTTTAACATGACTTCCACTCATTTGCAAGCACAAATTCACTGGTTTTATAATACAAGAATGATCAAAAACCTTTAGCACACTATATTCTTATCTTATGGTGGTTATAAAAGACAAAGATGATGCTAGCTCAATGGCTTGTCTTGGCTTTCTTCATAACTCAACATCGGATACTCAAGAGTCAACGACACAGTAAGCCAATGCCAATCCCCTGTAGTAATCCAACAAACTTCGGCTTTTCAATTCTCACAGCCTTCAGCACAAGTTTTACTGGTTTTGCAATGCAAATTTAAAAAGAAGTTTGGTCGACAGTGTAATAAGCCAAACCTCTATAGTAGTCGTGTAGTCGCAAGCTTAATAATTGATGATTTCAATTTTACAGCAATTCAGCACAAATTTCACTCATTTCACAAAATGTTCAAAAGAAAATTGATCACTAGCATAATCAAAGTCATTAATCAAAGCAACACTGCACAAATCTTGAATAGTAGGATCACTACTCAAATCTTGATCACTCAATTCAACGAACGCTAGCAAATTTAGAACAATCAAACTACAAGTGCGCAATTTTTTCACAAATTCCTGATCAATTTGCACTCATTTCACAAATGCAACTTGAATTATGCTCAATAACGCAACTAATTAAGTTAAAATCAACCAAAAAAAAGAATAAAAACTTACTTCTGGAGTTGAACTTTTTCCTGCTCGATAATCTATCATGAACGCCAAAAACCTAACATTAGAAAATGAGATTAAAAAAACCGGAAGAAAAAAAGAGGAGAGAGAAACCTTTTCAGTGTAAGCGATGACAGGAGCTTCACGAAAGAGACCATCGGGGCCAATCTCCGACATTAGCGAGGGATTAGCATTGTTCGCCATTGTTGAATTGTTGGATCTTCAGGAAGAACACATAAATGGAGGTAGATCTGGTGATAAATTATGATTAATGGAAAGGGATGAAGAATGAATGAAGATTGTAAAAATGTTGGCGTAAGAAAGATCAAGTGGGATAGATTAGTGTGATGCAGCAATTGGATTGTTAATGGGGATTTGAGAAATACAACTGCTTTTAGACTTCACGTGGATCATTACATCAAATCCGGATGGTCAATGGCCAAACCTTTTTAAAAAAAAAAAAAAATTATACACGGAGTACTCTACGTTAGTAACTTCTGACGCTTGTCAATGTACGAACTTATTGTTAACATCTCTAATTATCGAATAGAATCTTGCTAACTCGCTATAACGTTAGCAATTTACTACTCCATATATAACATTTTTTGTATGGTGAAAATACTTCTTCCCCTATAGGGCTATAGGCTAGCAATTCATATTTGGGTTTCAACTATTACATGATCATGATCTAATGTGATTTTAAGAAGTTCATGAAAGTTTTGAAAATGTCTAACTTGTCAAAGTGTCCCAACACAATTACTGAATTACATTGTTGTAATACTTTCATAAGGTAAGAAAGTAAGATAATACTCCAGTATAGTCGTATAGGACTGAGTATCATACAAAACAGCAAATTTCATTGGCGCCCAATTGCATTAACAGCACTCTCCTAGAGTCTCCTACAGTCCTACCCATACTGTTTTCGTAAAATGAAATTTTACGAAACATATAATACAAGAATAATACCTTTTATTCAGAAAATAATGGTGCAATACAATCATACACCAACATCAAACAAGCTAAAAGAATTAACTTGGCGATGATACAGCTTCTGCTTAGTCTGAAATAGGATTAACCTATCAACTTAAAACCGAAAAAAACTATAGTAATTTGAAACAAAAAGAACTACTGTATATATTTTGCACCCTAAAAGGGGTATACTATCAACCTAGAATTACATCAAATACACAATATTACTCAAAAAAGAATGTGCCTAGAATTTGTATCACACTTGTTGTAAGATTTCAAGGACTTCATCTCTTGTTGGCAAACCAGGAATGGCTCCTCTCTTCGTAACCGTAACAGCACCACATGCATTTGCAAAATACAAAGCATCCCTTAACCGCTTTTCATCCTGCAAGAAGAGCTAAAACTGAACTTTCCAATACAAATTGCCAAACTAATTGCACAGAACTGCATATTTATATTCAATCAAGGCATCAAGCTAATTTAACTGAAAAACCAAGGCTACCAAGTCGAAGAGAAAAAGAATAGAGATGTGATCACGGACAAGCTACAATAGGGCTTGGTTGGGACAGACTAGATAAAAAGGGACTGGTCACCAATTGGCTCATAAGCCAGGTTGGGTTGGTCTCAATCAACCTACAGGCTACCTCCAATGTAAATACTCAGCTAGGCCCAAGACCAAGAGGGAGATAGACAAACGAGAATAAACCTTAAATCCTTAATCAGCAACTGGACGTTTCAGTGGCTATAAAGTTTGATTTAAACAGGTAGGACTTATAGCACTAAAATTTAAGAGAGCAAGATCATCTAGGAGAATAACATAGGCTGCAAGTGATCATCTCTGCATCTTCCATCAACTAAATGTGTCATAGGCAATCCAGAAGAAAATCAATGTCTTAAAGCAAAAACACCTGTCCTTATTCACATTATTATTTTATTATGTTGTCATTGACTACATTACATCACATTTGCATATATAGGAAGGTCCATATAGCTTCTTTTATACTGTACAAGTGTATGTTTTGTGTGGTAGTAAGAATAAATAAATCGTTCTAGTTATCCCATCCAGCAGCCTGCTCCATCCATATGTCCACTATGAGCAGTTGCATCATCATCATTAATTTATTGAGCATCAGAATATACTGATATGCCCGGCACATGATTATACATATATATTCAGCACAAAATGCATTAAAAATTAAACACAGTACACGAAAGCCCTAATGGGCAAATTGAAGCATGATAAAAGTATTTTTCATGCCCTGCAATTAATTACCTTCAATAATTTCAAGTCAGAGGCTAAAATGTTTAGAAATCCTCCCACAAATGCATCGCCTGCACCGGTTGTGTCCACAGGTTTAACTTTCACACTACCAACCCTACCCTTAAACGTCTGCAAAATAAGGGCATAGTTAAAATTCTTGTCAGTTTGAAATATTGTTAAGAAGCTGAAGATTCCATAATCATTTCACCAAGAGTAACATTAACTACATGCATTTCACTAGCTTAAAGATGAAGCAGCAATTACCAGACAAGAAGATATCTCAAGAGAATTATTGGACAAATACAGTACTAGGTATAGAATGCCCTAATCAACTTGCTTACCTGAGTGTAGTATCTGCAACCTTCTGACCCTTCAGTCACAATCAAGAGCTTAAGATTGGAATGAAAGAGCTTCATAACAACATTATCGTCGTATGGGTCCTCACCACCAGTCAAGAATGTGATTTCGTCTTCACTTACCTGCCGCAAAAATAACAGTCTTAAAATCACATGTGCACAGTTAAACATGATTAGCAGATTAGTATTTTCAGCTCATATAAAATTCAAGATTTTTCCTCCCGAAATTTATACCTTAATCATATCAGCTTGTTCCCATATGCTCATTATGCCAACCCTAGCAGCTTCCTCTGATGACCATAATTGCTTTCGCAAATTGGGATCATAAGAAAGGAAACCACCTGCCTTCTTCACAATTTTCATCGCAGCAAGATGAGCTGATCTGCAAGGTTCCTCTATCAAGCTAATTGAACCATAGTGCAAGATCCTTGCCTACATTAAGATTACAGTCACAGTAAGAGTTCAATTCCCAAGCAGCCACAGAAGAAACAAGCAAGTTTCTAGAGGGAAATAAAATATAAAAAATTCAATCATCAATAACACACCTTCTCAAGTAGGTCTTTATCGAGCTCAGATTCTTGAAGGAGCATGTCAGCACTTGGATTGCGGAAAAAGAGAAATTCACGCTCTCCATCAGCTCTCAAAGTAACAAAAGCCAGTGCTGTCCTTGCCCCAGGATCAAATCTCATTCCTGAATTATTTACTTTATTTTGCTTCAAAATGTCAGCTAACATGAAGCCAAACTCATCCTTTCCCACCTAATCAAAATTTAAAAACAATCAGAAAAGCATAAACACAGAGAGCAGTAGAAATATATTTTGCTTCGTGAGCATAGATTATGTTCAATCAATATACAAGGTGGCAATAATCCTAAAAACAATCAGAAAAGAATAAACATAGAGAGCAGCAGCCAGCTCATCAGATATCATTGGAAACCACACATAGCCACACTGGAATCAACTTAAAAACAAGTGCAGAGAACCAAAGAGTAATATGTTAGTTGATTATCCTAAATTACTTCTGATTACCAACATTTCCCTGTAAGATACTTGGACAAATAACATAAAGCAATCTTTTAGCGGCTTCTTCCACAGTGATTAAAACATGGACAAATTACATCTGCTTTTGCTCAAATAAGGCAAAGCTTAGAAAGTTATTCTGATTAACAGAACTTTAGCCTCTAAATATATTCCTCCGAGTGCTCTAAAAATGAACATCAAACACAGTTAACAATGTGGATATATCAGCAATGAACTCTTCACTCATTATGTTTCATAATAGCATTAAACTAGGTTCCAAAAACTGAAACATCCAGAATTAGTACACAAAGGACCAAATTGAAGTAATTCTACCTTTCCAACAAAAGCCGAGGAACCTCCTAATCGCGATACTCCAACAGCAACATTAGCAGGAGCACCACCAGCAGCTTTAGCAAATGCAGGTGCCTCAGCAAGCGACACTCCGGCAGCCGTGGGCACAAAATCAATCAGCATTTCCCCAAAGCAAACCACCAGTGGTTTATCATCCTTCATTTTACCATTTGTACCTACCAAAAGAACCCATATACTCCAACTCATAAACGATCATAATAATCATTCATCTATGAGCTATAACATAAATCTTTCTATACAAACATCATATTTGACTCATGTTCTTTAGATTCTTGATTTGTAACAAACTCAAATAGCAGAATTTGGTGGAATTAACACATTTAAACAGCATTTTAGCTGTAATAAACAGAGATTTTCTGATCATTGAACTGAAAAACTAATAACCCAGATCATCATATAACCAAATTCTCTTAAAATCATTACAACTAATTACAACAAACATAATGATGATCTGATCTAGAATCAAACATCATATTCAAACTAAATAAAACCCATATCAAAGTTGTCAAAATCATCATTTAAAACAGTCAAAATCACGAGTATATTCAACATGCAAATTAAGATACCAAAAAGATTAGGAGGAAAACCCCACTTCACAGTAGCAAAACTAAACAATAATTAATAACAAAACAATCAAATTAAGCAGAAAAATGCAGGAAAAAAACAAGAAGAAATAAAAAAGAAAACCAACCAGAAGAAGGGTTATGAGCCATGAAAAATTGTTAGCAATAAAACCCTTGTAGTTGAGAAAAAATTGGTGAAGAAAGAGAGAGAAAAAAGAAGAAGGTACGCTATTGGTACAGCAAAGAGGAGACAGAGAGAAAGAGAAGGTTGTTGGATCTTTGGAGAGTCGTAAGAAACAAATCTGGGTTGTGTATGAATTTATGATGATTCATGAAATTAGAAATGTAATAGTAATACCAATACCCCGTTAATGTTGCATTCTTTATTGACCAAACCAAACCCCTTAATTTTATTCTATTTTATTTATTTCGATTTTATTTCAGGGGAAAGAGTAATTTGCTGACCAACAAAACAGCGGCGTGCTAGTTTGTGCATGTACCACACTTCTATTTTGCTTTTGTTTTTTATTCTTTACTCCATGGTTTGTATGATTGATTGTATCATTTGCGATTTTGTAGTATTTGTGGAAAAACGGTTTTCAATTGGAAAATATTTTTTTTAAAAATGTCTTCAAAAGAAATGTGTTATTGATGATTGATTATTACCCTTGTCATAGCATCGGCTTCATTTCGTAATCATTATAATAATACAAAAGTCACATAATTGTTCGTCTAATTAATCAAATTAAAGCAGTCACATGAGGTTTGTCTTTACAAATGACTTCTTCATGTTGCGTCACTTGTGTTTCATATACATTATTGCTGTCAAAATCATGATTTAGATCGTTCATTTTTGCAATTCCAAACTAGCTAAATGATCCAAATTGAAAACATGATTATAGCCACGTAGGACTTCGTATAATCATAGCAAGATCATACAAATGAGCTTAAAATCGTAGCTAAATTGTACAAAATTGCAATATCATAGCAAAACTGTACATGATCGTATAAATTAGAATATAATCACATATGATCGAACAATCATATATACTGTTTTCATTATTAAAAAAAAAAAAAAAAAAAAACTCAATAATTATTATCCCTATTTCAAATCTCGAAAATTAACAATTCAACTTAAATGAAATTTTACAATATGTTCCTAAATAGTTTGAGTTATTGTTGTATGAAAAATACTTCTAAATCTCATTTCAAGTGTGTATTATCAATTTTTATGTCAGCAATAACCCTCTATATTATTACTAAGTATCAATCTCGTTGCTTAAATATTAAGGAAATTGATAAACACAGCCCTAAGGGCTATGTATAAGGAGCTAAAAAAGGAAATATTAAAGATAGATTAATGCGTGATTTTGTCATGAATTTTCAACTTAATTCCATTTTAGAAGGTATATTTAATGCTTATGCATAGACTATATATAGATATATATATATATATATATATCACTACCCAAAAATTAATTAGTCATTTTTCAGCTTATCAAAATTAGACAAAAACAAACTACACCAAACCATATAAAAAAAAATTTCAAGTCAAAGTAGACTAAATAAATACATATCAGACCTCAACGATCATACATTAATCACCAAATTCATAACAATTGTTACTTTGTGTATTAAAAAGTGATCAAATAAACACTCTTGAATCTCTAAAGTCCAGATGTATAGCCTATTCTCTTCAGTTTGATTCAGTTCAGTTTCCAATTTTCTTCTCTTATAAACAATTTAATTTAGCTTAATTTAATCAATCACAACAGACCCGTAATCCGGTGTTAAATGGAGAATATATAAAGTGACTTCTTCATAGTCCCAAACACGTTATGCAAAAATCTACAAAGGACTAAAAGTGTACCCACCAGCCACCTAAGCTGCTAAGCAATCACCATGCACTTCCACCGCATTAAAGTTGTTAACAAACTCATACACCAAAAAATCACATTGGAAAACACAAATAAATTCACCGACTCACGTGATAACTTATCGAACCAAGGGCAAATCTTAATACACGTGGTGTTAATACATTCCGTCAAAATACCGTCATTCAATTTGTCCTTGGATATTCCCCAGCCCAGCCCAATACAGCCCAGAATCTCAGCCCAATTGTTTTTTTTTTAAGAAGGGATAAAAAAAAGTACGGAGTATAAAAAAATCTGCAAAATTATTTCCCACATTTCCTCTCACCCTCTCATTCTCTAAGCTCTGTAACAATGGCGTTTTCTGTAAAAATTGAACCTTCATTCTCTCTCTACTCTCGTAAAACACCTATCAAAATTTTCTCTCTTCCTCTTCGCTCTTTCTCTCTCCCTCTTCCTTCTCACAATTTCATCTCTCTTACTAAAATGTCGTCGCATTCTCATTCCCCCATTAAAGCTTCTTCATCATCTCCTTCTACCTCCAGTATCCTCGAATCTCAGAATTTCTCGGTATTCATCTTATTTCAATTTAATTAATTTTAAATCTGTATATTTTTATAATTTGTGTTTTCATTTGATTTGAATGATGAATTGTAAGTTGAGAATTTGTATCAGCGCATTCTTGTTGTGAATTATTGATTCAATGTATAAATATATACTTCCTCCGTTCTTTTAATATCGCATCACTTGCCTTTTAGGGAAGTTTACAAAATATTGCATCAATTCCATTTTAGGATAAAAAATATCTATGTTCATCTATGTTCACACTGCAAATACCCAACATATTCTTACTTTTTCACACTTACTTTTTATTTTATGTTACATTACATGGACAATTTTGTATTTTTACGTTTCTCTCTCTTACTTTTTCTCACTACCAAATTTTGCCTCCAAAACCCACTATGATGCAATAAAAAAAACGGAGGAAGTATATTTAATTTCCTTTTATTATCATGAATACTCATAATTTGATGTGAATTGTATCTTTGTTTGTTGCTAATTATTGCATTTTGTCAATAAATTATTGTATCTATAGAAATTTGGATTGCCGTAGCAATACATTGCTTATTTGATCATTATTATAATGTCTTGAAATTTGCAATTTTTTTATTTGATGGAAGCAGTGTAATTAGAGTGGCATTTTGTATTGATTGTCGTCTGATTATTTTAATTGAGTTCAACAGATAAAAATGGTGCCGACGAAACCTTATGATGGTCAGAAAACTGGCACTAGCGGTCTCCGGAAGAAGGTTTAATTCGTTTTTCGTGTTTGTAAGTAATATGGATTAATGGTTTTTGTTAATTTGATGTGGAAACTAACTGTTTTCTTAAAAAATTGGTTTGCTCTTAGGTTAAAGTATTTATGCAAGAGAATTACCTTGCCAATTGGATACAGGTTCAAAACACATTGCTCAAAAAGCATAGTTTGTTTACTTGAGATGTTGGTGGCATTGTGATTACGGCATTGATTAGTGTGTGGTTTTATGAATGAGCAGGCATTGTTTAATTCACTGCCAACAGAGGACTATGTGAATGGGGTGTTAGTTCTTGGTGGCGATGGTCGGTACTTTAACAAAGAGGCTGCACAGGTATACTCATCTTTAGTTATGAAATCTGCATAATCTATGTATGGACATTAATTTGTGCATCTTGGTTTGCTATTCAGACAATTATCAAAATCGCGGCAGCCAATGGGGTTGCAAAAATACTAGTTGGGCAGTGAGTATCCTGTTTATAAATATATTTTTTCCTTCTTATGTGTTATGTTGTTATATAGTTTGATATCATGAATGAGTATTATTTTTGAAAGGATTTTGAATATTTAACACCATTTACATACGTGTGTTTTGTAAGAATGTATGATCATCCTCTTTGTAAGCCTAAGTTAGGTCTGTCAAGAACTGAAACCTTCCTCATTGAAATTTCACTCTCCTAATTGAGCCAGTCGAACTCCATATACCACCTTAAGGACTTGAGGTTAGATAATCACTAATTAAGACCTGTTTGTTGTATAGTGCGCTTGCATTGGTTGTTTTCTTTGCCTAACAATAAGTTCTAGATTCTAGAAATGCACATATTCTTTAGGTTTCATGAACATAATCACATTCAATTTTGGGATAAGGAGGTGTTTTTTACGCATCAATGCATTCAGTTTTCCGTGAGTCGAGCCAAGCCAAGCATTGAACTATGTGAGCTAAGCTTGATAAGAACTACTCAAGCTCAATCCCAAAACCTCAAGAGCTCAATTATTAAATCACATGTTCAACAGTTCAAGATTGGCTTGTTTATATTTTTTAACTGTAAAACGCTTGGGCTGAGCAAAATCAAGTTTGAAGGGGAATGCTTCTAAACAAGCTTCATACATGCTTCTATATATGCTAGTCAATCAATCAATCAAAGGCTTAATCTCATTAGTGGGGTTGGCTATATGAACCAAAAATAATTATTCCGCATAGTCATTCACAAAAATCTTCCTCCACTCCTTACAATCAAATACCTCATTCTCATGCAAATCCATATGCTTCATATCAACTCCTTAAACCAAGACATTTTCGGTCCCTGTCCATGATCCCACTCTTCCCTTCTTCAATGCAGGCGATTTTTCCTTAGTTTGTCTGCAATCCCCCCAACACCCACTTTCTTGCGAATGACTTTATTTCTGACTCTATCTCTTAAAAAGTTCTTGCACACCCATCTTAACAAGTGTATTTTCGTAACCTCCATCTTTTTAGCCCAACACTCTATACCCTATAGCAACACTGGTCTTATATCAAGGCATAAGTGTGTAATTAAAATTTGTTGAATCTACTAATAATGTCAATAATTTCAATTTTTGTTTTTGGTTCTATTTTTTGGGATATTATTTGTTTTTCCCCTATATTAGGCGTTGGCCATATTCAAGATTGAATGGGTATTTGAGTGAACTTGAATGAGCTTATAATCATTTGCGGACAATTTGTTTGTGAGCTTAAACGAGATGAACACTTTTTCGTTGAGCTAGGCTTCTTTAATATACATGCCCTTAAATTTTGTTCAAGCTCATTTGTTTACCAAATGAGAATGATCTTTGACCGCGAGTTGTTCACAGTTGTATTGGTTCATTGATACTACTATGATAGTGCGTATTCCCCTAGATATTTCCTAGAATCAGTTCATTACTCTTAGATTCTGATGTACACTACAATTTTCATCAACATTGTACCTGCTTATCTTCAAACTAAGCTATTTAGTATTTCTCTGTAACCTTCCTTCAGTGCTAAAACTATGTACTTTTCTTTTGGTACCCATTACTACATGTCTATGTCTGCATTCACTTTCTCGTTATTCAATCTGTTCGTGTAACTCATATGACCTGCAACATCATGATAAAAGTTGAGACTGGTTAGCAAAGTGTGTAAAGAACCATAAATGTTTATGATAACTAGGCACTGTCTAATTTATGCGAGTTTGACAAA